GGCATGGTATTGGCAACAAAACAGACATATAGACCAATGGTACAGAATAGAAGACACACAGACAAACCCACATAAATACAGTTATCTCATACTAGACAAAGGCACAAAAAACATTCACTGTAGAAAAGATAGCCTAATCCACAAATGGTGCTGGGAAAATTGGAGGTCCATATGTAAAAAAATGAAATTAAACCCTTATCTCATCCTGCATGAAACTCAACTCAAAGTGGATCAAAGACTTAGGTATTAGAACAGAGAACCTGTGCCTAATAGAAGAAAATGTGGCTCAAATCTTCACCGTGTTGACCTAGGATCTGACTTCCTTAACAATGCTCCTAAAGTGCAAAAAGTAAACAAAAATTAGTAAGCTTCTTCTTCTCAGCAAAGGAAACAATAATGTGAAGAGAGAGTCTACAGAATGGGAGAAAATCTTCACCATATGCTCTTCTCTCTTAAATTTGTACTGTAAACAATTTCATAATATATTTTTCATGTTTTTTCATACACACACATACACACACACACACACACACACACACTCACATTTGTGTATATATGTTTCAGTAAACACCTATACAGCCCTGCCATTGAGTCAGTGAGACTCTGTCTCTAAATAAAATAAAATAGTGCTGGGGATGTGGCTCAGTGTTCCAGTGCCCCTCAGTTCAATCTCTAGTACCTCCCCTAAAAAAAGAACAATTGTTAACATATTGCTTTATTTGTGGTCTCTCTCATTCTCTCTTGCTCTCTGGTTGCACACACACACACACACACACACACACACACACACCACATTTTTTTGTTGTGTTGAACTATTTCAAAGTAAGTTGCCCACATTTCTTCATCAAATTCTTTGGCATACAACTCCTAAAAATAAGGACCTTGGCTGGGCATGGTGGCACATGCCTGTAATCCCAGGAGCTTGGGAGGCTGAGGCAGGAGGATCACAAGTTCAAAGCCAGCCTCAGCAACTTAATAAGACCCTAAGCAACTTAGTGAAAACCTGTCTCAAAATAAAAAAGGGCTGGGATATACATCCATGGTTAAGCATCACTAGGTTCAATCCCTGAAAACAAACAAATAAAAATATATAAAAGAAGGACAGGACTAGGGTTGTGGCTCAGTAGTAGAACACTTGTCTGGCATGTGTGAGACATTACGTTAGATTCTCAGCACCAAATATAAATAAATAAAATAAAGTCCACTAACAACTAACAATAAATAAATAAATAATATAAAAGAAGGACATTCTTCTACTTAATCATGTCATTAATACTCCTAAAATTAATCAAAATTCCATAATGTAGACTACTACCAGTCCATTTTCAAATTTCTCCAAAAAGCCTAAAAAAAATAGTTTCCAACTAACTGAACCAGAATCCAATCAAGATTTATTTATTGCTCTTGGTATGTCTCTCTTAATCCTTTTTTTCATGTATTTTATAGACATCCTATGACATTAACATTTTGAACGGTCTAGACCAGTCGTCTTGTAGAAAGCCACACGCTCTGTATTCTTGGCTCCTCATGCTGTCAGACTTGTTCCTTTATAGCCTGAYCAGAAAATGAAGGAAATAAAAAAATGGGGAATTTCCTATTGGAGGCACTTAATGTCAGACTCTCCCACTATTAGTGATGTTAAAGTGATGACATTTTTAAGGAAGTTACATTTTTTCATGTGTAGTTACTAAATAATCTTTGGGTAATCTTTTCCCCCACCTTTGGATCTAGACTTTTTAAGTACACTTTAATGAAAACCAATATTTTATTGTTTAAAAAAGTGTTTTAAAGATTGGGAGGGCATACAAAGGACATCTAAAAAGGAAGAACGGTGAGATGGAGTAGCTCTGGTTTTTACCAAAGCTCCACCAATAACTAAAGCATAATGACAACAGAACCCAACATACTGGTATCAAAATAAATTCAAACATACATCATACAGGAGAAAAGAATGTGCCATATAGCTCTGAGCCCATTAAAAACCCTTACATAGTTTGCCAAATGATGCTAATTTGGGGATTACATTTTTGTTCTGTTTTGATGTTCTGTTTAAGAGTGGACATATGATCAGATCCCATATGTGAGAGCTGATGTGAWTTCCCTTCTTTCCTTCTACAGTGTGAATAAACTCTTCTTGCCTGTGGAAGTGTTATATCAAACCCTGTTGAACTCACCACATGTGAGTTACTGAATTCGACTACTGGACTTCAAAATACACATTAACTCATGTTTAACCAACACTTTTGAGAGCTTAGGTCCTGGCAGGGCTGTACTCTGCTAGTCACTTCTCTATGGGCAGAGATCTCAGGCTTCAGTAGGCCCTGGAATTCTGAGGCCTCACCTGCCAACACCTGCATCATCTTCTAGCATAGAAGGACCTCACATGTCATATTTTCCTGGGTCTTACCAGTAAAGCCAGCTTCTCCTGAGAAATGATGGTATCAAGCTACATCTTGAATTTYAATTAGACTTTAGTTTCTACAAAGGCCTGTGTACACCTAATTGAGAAACTGGTCTTGAATAATTTTGGAATTCACTATGTGGCTAATGTGCCCCACCTAACTAGTATAGTCCCTGTGAGCTTTGTTAATGCTCCCCCATTTTAGACAGTGTGGTTCTAAGAAAACCTCAAATAAACATGTGATTCATAAAGTTGTATTCTGATCCACTCATTTCTACCATACACAATAGAACATTCATTATAAGGAAACCCAGAAATAAAACCAAGTTCAACTGTCACTTTATAGATGCAAAACCTGAAGCACAAGAAATTCAATAAATTTTAAGGTCAGTTAAATGAAGGACAGAAAATCATGATTATTTTTTGAGTGCTTACTCTATGCTAGATATTGTTCTAAGCACTTTTTAATTCTCCTAACAACTTTATGAGACAGGTTATACTACTTTACTCATTTTTTTCTGCCAGTGAAAAAACTGGGAGAGAAGTGAAGTGACTTATCTAGGATGTATAGATAATTCAAGAAATCTGACTCCAGAATCCGTGCCTAACTGATCCACCCTCCTATCTCGAAAGTTATACTACTTGTGGCTACACAGTCACAGCTAGTTAGGAATCCAGGTGGGATCTATGTTCTCTGAGAATACATTCCACCCTCTATCAGGAATTCCAAGAGTGGAATGAATTCAGTGTTTCTTGCAACCCAGCACAGCCCTGATTGGGGGTTGCATTGGGCTCTCTACTGTGAACAGGCAGCTGTTAAATGCCTGTGATAATGGGGGATGGGTGGGCAAAGAAGATACAAGATGCCAGAACACCAAATCCCTCTCCCACAAAACCAATCAAAGCACTAGGCCTTGAGATATAATATCATGTCATTTTTGCAGATTTGCTTTCTTAATTATGTTCTGCTAAAACTGCCATGAAACTCTGTTGCTATTCTCTTATACACCCCAAGGACAGCAAGGGATCATGACTAGTGCAAATGCCTCACGTGATATGCCTCTGTGGAAAATGAAAATGGATTCTAAATGCTCTTCTCCCTCCCTTTCTCTCAATCTTACATCCCAGGTCTTGGTCTATGTCTTACTGATTTCCCATGTTAATTATTTTAACCTTGCCCTTAGTGGCCTCTTTTGTCTCTCATTGCCATAGAAACCCAATCTGCCACAAGAGTTGTCTTTCTTGCCTGTTTTTTTGACTGTGGCCCTCTACTTAAGTCCTTCTTCATCTCCAAATCACCTGATGAATTAAATCTAAGCCCCTTGATCTTGCCTTTGGGACCTTCTCTAATTTGCTCCTCTTTTATGCTCTTTTTAGAAATAATACATTCCTGGAGCAAAGGTTAAATCACATCTCTGTCAGCCAAAATATTAACTCTAAGAACCAACGTATTTCTATAGAACTTTAGAGAGTAAAAAAAGTAAAAAGAGTAAAAAAAAAAAAAAAGCTACCTACCTATATTACCCACATTTAAGTCTCACAATCAGTACAATATAATGAATAATATACACACACACACACACACACACACACACACACAATAACTGTCCAGTCTCACGATTTTCTACCGTTTTAAAAACCTGACACCTTTTCACTCAACATTGTTGCCCCCAGAAGGCTTTTATATTTGAAACTTTACTAGTGGAGTGGAATGGGACTGAGTAGGGAATAAAATAAAGCAGTAAAAAAGGCATCTTCCTTCAATTTCGTTTTTCTGCCTAGTGAACGCCGTCTCAGGTCACAGAGTATGAATGACCGGGTTATATCATTTCCTGAATGCACTTGCTTTTGACATAAGCTATTATCGTGATAAACCGCTAGGTCTGGTCAGGAGTACAGACTACTACTGTTCAAAGAACTACGAGTCCCACAACGCCTTGCGGCCAGGGCGCCGGCGTATCGCGCGCTCCTTCCTTTCCGTTCCCCGTCGCCGGGAAAGGCCCGCCCCGCGGCGCTGTCGCTCGCCCTGGAAGAAGCGGAAGAAGATGGCGCTCACCAGGTGGGTTGTTGATTCGGGTCCTCGATACGGAAGGGTCTGGGAGTAAACACCTTTTTCTTTTCTTTGTCTACACGCCCCCGGAGATAACCTGGCCTGGGGAAAAGAACGACGTGGGTTGGGATCATGGCTAGACCTCCCCGCTGGCCGCCGCGGCGACTAGGCCTCGCCGAAACCGGGATCTTTCCTGAGGGGCTTCCCGGGTTGAGTTCTCCCCCTTCCTGTGACCCAAAGCCGCGGCGTGGCCTCGCGCTGGAGTCTCACGTGTTCTTTGCTTAAGCTTCACAGCGGGTTGGAGGGCGCTCCTGCATGTCGCTGCTCGGGTGGACGCTGTGGGGCCGTGGAGGGCAGCGTCTTTATTTCTCCAGGATGAGTGGAGCGCGCGGGCGGCGACTTCGCGGCTTTCGGGCTGTTTGTCTGCGATGATCTCTCTCCCGCCTGTTTTCCGACACTGGGATTTCTAGGAACAGGAAAAAAAAAAAGGGGGGGGGGCTGAGAGCGGAACTGAACAGGGATTTTAAAGTGGCCTCAGTAGAGGCCGCTTTCTACTAAATTCACCTTTGCTCAGCACTTTAACTTTGGACCTTAGAATTTCTTCCGTAGATAGAACTACCTCCGATTTTTTGCTATTCCCGGTTGCCTTGGTAACCGAAGGTAAAGCGCTCCCGCCATTAAGAGAAAAGATGCTGTTAAGTGGGAGATTCCAAGAAGTTACGTAACTCGTGCCAGCCCGCGACCTTGCTGCTCCGTCTAAGTAGAAAAACTTTCCATGCGAAACTCAACAGTACAAGCGCAAAGAAAGTAATCATTTTAGGACCTCAGCTTGAGGCCCTGTAATACACTTCATTCTCCTCGCATATATTCCCTAACTGATGAATCCTAAAAATGTTTCAATTACAGGGGATTACTACTGGGTATCTTGCCCTATCTTAGGAGTCTTTTGTACAGAAGAAAATATAACTTTTGAGTTGCAGAGAAGATGGGGTACTAGTACGATCATAAGACAAAGAACAACACAATGTTTGTTTAGTACCAGCCTAAGTGTAAAAAGAATTAGATTCAATGAGTTGTGTGGACTGAAGAGTTTTCTTTAGTAAATGATACAGGCAGCAAACATTTTAATGTCCTCCAGGTGCAAAGCACTGCACTAGATAGTAGTAGGGTTATGAATGAAGAATTTTTGGAAAACATGGAATTGGAAATGAACACCTGGAAACAATACCAGAGATGTAGTGGGTATTCTGTGCTTAAAATTGCATTGGCAGATTGCAGTCTCTGAATGGTCAATTTGGGGGACTACCTAGCTTTCCATAGGTTCCATCTGGTGTTCATTGGTGTCTTTTGTAATATCCTTTATATAAATCTGTAAACATTAGTTTTTACTTATTTATTTATTTAAGTACCAGGATTTGGACCCAAGCCCATAATTTAATTTWATTTTATTTTGAGACAGAGTCTTGCTAAGTTGTAGAGGTTGGTCTTTAATTTGCAGTCCTCCTACCTCMGCCTCCCAGATAGCTGGGATTATGGGCCATGCACTCTTACACCTGGCTAGGTAAATGTTTGGGGTTTTGTTATTGTTTGAGCTGAGGTGGTACGACTCTAGTTTGTAGTCAGTGTGTCAAAAGTCCAGACTTGGAATTGGCATCTAACCTGTGGGGTCTGGAACTATCTCCATTAGACACTATCAAAATTGAATTGCATTAGAAAACACCCAACTAGGATGTACTGGAGACCCTGAAGGACAGTTGATAGCTTGATGTGTAAGGGAAGCATCCCACACATTTGGTGTCCTAAATCTTACATATTGTCGATTGTTAAATGAGCTAGTAGGAGAAACTGGTTTTCCTGTATCATTGCATTCTYCTCCTCCTGCTTATATTTTAGTAGGACAGACTATATATGAGTAAAATCAATAATGCCTTTAGTAATAAATGCTGGGAATAAGAAAGGATTAGATTGTGAGTCCATCTGGTGAAGTGACTATTTTGGACAAGGTGGTGCAAAACGGCTCTAGGGAGGTGTGATTGAGTGAGACTTTAATGCTAGGGTGCACAGAAATTGGATTTTTTTTTTTTTTGTACTGGCGATTGAACCCAGGGGCACTCTACCACTGAGCCACATCCCAGCCTTTTTTAGACAGGTTTTCCTTAAATTGCTCTTGACCTAACCAAATTGCTGAGGCTGGCCTTGAACTTAGGTTCCTCCTGAGATGCTCAGATTACAGGTGTATGAGCCACTGTGCCCAGCAGAAATTGTTCTTAATAAATAAATAGAATATTAGCAAATGTAAAGGGCCTGAGACAGCTTGTTTGAGTAAAGGTGAGAAAGCTATAGTGACATAAAGATGGTGAGTGCAAGGGATGAGTGAATTCACCTTGCAGACATTTAAGGTACTCCTGTAGTCAGCTAGACAATGCCTTGACATTTAGGATGAAACAGGCAGAGAGCATAACACTGTCTAGTGAGGAAATGATAGGTAAATTAATAGATAATTGCAGTTCAATAAGTAGATGTTCTTGTTGTGTGCTGAGGGCCAAGAGGGAACATAGTTTKCGGGCAGTGAACACAAACTGGGAAATCATGGAACAAGTCCAAATAATCATTTTTGGAACATAGGTTTAGCAGTATCTAGACACTTTGCCAACTGATTGGTGAATGTTCTCGTTTAATGCTCATAAGAACCTCATAAGGTAGATACTCTTCTGTGATCTGTCATTACAGGTGAGAAAACAGGCTCATAGAGATAAATAACTCACCCAGGTTTTTAAGTGTTACAAGGTAAATTTTGAACTCTGAGCTCTTAGCCATTACTATAACCTGACCTCCCGAACTGGTAAACCCTCTGTTGAATGCTGTCATAGCACTCTGTATTTTTTGCYTAACACTTAATGTATTTATAATTATGAATTTGTGCAATTGTCTTTCTCTCTCATAAGACTATAAGGTTTCTCAGTTATACTTTCATTGCCTGTCTAGTATAGTGTTTGCGCCCAAGTGATCAAGAAATATTTTTGGTAACTGAATAAAGTCTCCTACATATTCAGACTTTGTGCCAAGAATCACAGAGGAACTTGAATTATTTTTCCCTTCAATGTACATCTACTGGAATCCTTTTGTTTTATTTGTTTTGTTTGAACTTTAGATACCACTGTGATAACATAATACTTAAAAGTTGTTAAGAGTAATTTAGTAGAAAGTTGTTCTGATTAAATAATGCCACATCTTCAGGATTTCTGCTTTCATTCTTTAGCCTGTTAAGTTTTAAATTTCATTCTAAATTAGACTCTTGGGAAAATGCCCTCAAGTATGCAGTTTATATTTTCGTGTATCTGTGTCTTTGTTAAATTCACTTTGAATCCTTGTTCTTTTGTATTGACATTGAAATAGTTAAAAAAAAGTAAGGAGCACGTATGAATAAAATAGTTTTTTAAAGAAGTATAAGAATAGGAAGGATATTTAGAAAATCATATACTGGACATTCGGCACCTGGGTAATGGGGAATGTGTATTTGCTTGTTAAAAGAAAAGATATAGAAGAATAAAAGCTCAATAGTTTGTCTATTATGTAAATATCTGTAGTTTTTTATAATGGATACCATTTGTCTTGATTGCAGTTGGATTTTTTTTTATTGTATGTCTCTTAGTGCTTCTTTTTTGCCACACATAATAAAATGCTTGGTATATGTAAGAGTTTTTAAAATTCTGACTCTTGTTTTCTATAGCTTTTTACCTGCACCTACTCAGCTATCTCAAGACCAGCTTGAGGCTGAAGAAAAAACAAGATCTCGGAGGTCACGGCAGACCTCACTGGTCTCCTCCCGGAGAGAACCACCCCCATACGGGTACCGAAAAGGCTGGATACCTCGGTTGTTAGAGGTAAATATGGATGTTCTGTTTTGATTTATTAAATTATGTTGAAATTTATTATTATATGTTGTAAAATATATTTAAACGCTAGATTTTCTGATTATTAATGTCAGTGATAGAAATTCTGCTTGTGAGCTCTCAAGACATACTTCCCTCAGAAGATTTCTTTTTCGTCTTGCTTATTGTCACTGGTTTGTGATCACTAGAGAACTATGCCATTTTGTCTCTTCTAATGCGAAACTATTAAACATGTACATAAGGAACTAACATACCCTTTATGAATCTAGGAATTATATAGCATGTGGACAATAATGGTAAAGTAAGAGGTGAAAATAAAGTGATTTTATGTTTGAGTTCTCTCCACAACACCAACTAAAATAATAATACCATATAACCCTGAAAGAGTTTCCTTTAAGGGAAGGTTTAATAGCATTTCCTTTATTGATTTTTTTTAACCCCATCTGTTTTCTTCAGTCTGAGAATGTTAATCAGCAGATTAGATAATGTTTGGGGAAATGAGAGACAAAATTTCATAGTTGACTTATAGGAAGTAGAAGAGAAGGAAGAATCTATAGAGTGATCCTTTTTTATATCTCTGCCTTGTTTCCAAATAACAAACTTCTCAACAGCACCTGTTACTCGGGATCCTATACATCAGTCCATTCAATGCATATTTCTTTCCCCGATTCCAGGGAAATCTTTCCATACTAGACCACTGTGTTAGTCAGTTTTTTTGTCACTATGACCAAAATACCTGACCAGAGCAACTAAGAGGAGGAAATGTGTATTTGGGCCAGAGGTTTAGTTCATGGTTAGCTGGCTTTTATTTTGGGCCTGAGGTGAGGCCTAGCATCATGACTGAAGAAAGCTGCTTACCTTATGGTGGCCCAGAAGCTGAGAGACAAAGGAGAGGAAAGATGAATCCAGGGCACACCCCCAGTGACCTGCCTCCCCTCAGTCTCTATCTACCATCCAGTCAGTCCAACTAGGATGGACTAATTAGGTATAGCTCTCACAGTTCAGTCATTTTACTTCAGAATATTCCTGCATTAACATAGGAGTTTTGGGGAGACAAACCCAGGCCATAACAACCACCTTCCTTATCTAGGGAGAAAACAAACATTTGAGATAAATATTTTTTAACACAAGATAAACTCTGCTTTTATCAAGCCTTTTTCTTCTCCCTCTCCCAGTGTTCATTCTCATTACTACAAATTTTCTTCCACATGCCAAGGAATGGATGTGCCTCATTAAAAATCTAAAATGGCTATGTGTTTTTGCACTTCATTTATTTTTATTTTATCACTTTCTTATACTCTGTTCTTATGTGGTTATGACTTTTACTTCACAAATGGGAAGGGCGCTTGCCTTTTTCATATGCCTCCAAGTGGTGATCATAATATTTTTTTGAATTGAAACTTGTTGCTTAGAATCCTATAAGAAGCCATCTGTTTTCTCTCTCCCATGTCTGCCTGTCAGACTAGGTAGATAGAGCCTACGAGATAAACACTCAGCTAGACTGTACCTGGCCCTTACATATTTCAGGAGGTTTTCCCCTCATGTTTCCTCTGGTCTTTATGAATTCCTCTGTGAGAAGATCAGCCCTACTATATTGAAGGATTTTTGTTGTTGGTTTTGTTCTCTCTGGGACTGTAATTTGTGAGAAAGGCAAAATAAAAGAGGAGGCTATAATGCCCTCTTACCTGAAGCAAAAAAGTAGTGATTGGCATTAGCTAATTGAAGAATTCTGTTTCTCTTGAAATTATATCTTTTTTTTTTTTTTAGTTTCTCAGTAGATTACAGAATGGGRGTGGCAGGCCTCATTTTACATACAATGGATCAGCTTTATGACATTTGACTGCTTTTTAAAATCTTAATTGATTATCAAAGGTTTCATGTATCCTGGTGGAACAGAACTGTTTATTTGAAAATCAAACTAAAATGGCCAGCTAATCTGGAAATGCCATGGATGCTTTGAGGAGAGTGAATGTTCTGTGGAAGAAGGCATTTTGTTCTAGTCTTCAGTGTAAAAGCTATGATTTTCTGGCAAGCTTAATGACCACATAATGCTACATCTACAGTTCTGAAGTGCTTATTATAGTTGAAGAACTCTAGCAATTCTGAGCATGTGTCAGATTGATGGTCTGGGTACAGGAAGCACTTTTCTTGGGAATATTTTAACTATTTCTTCCTAATTTACAAAAAAAAAATTCTCTTTCCGCTTTATTCTGTTCATTTTCAAATATTCCAAATCTCTCAGCAAATAAGCATATTATACCTAGGGACTCATATATACTAGATCTAATGGAATATTGCTTGAAGATGTCTTGTAAAAGCGGATATTTTTATAATTTTTCCATCAGACCCCTCTAAATGATCAATGTTTTTCTTATCATTCTTAGTAGTGCAAATTGAATATTCTTGTCTGAAATCCTTGGGACCAGAGGTTTTTCAGGTTTCAGGGTATTTGTCTAGACTTTACTGGTTGTGCACCCCAGTTCGCACCCCTAATCTTGATCCTCAGAAGTCTAAAATCTTTTGAGGCTATTTCAACCCTCAAAAAGTTCCAATTTTCATACTGGGGTTTCTTGGCCTGTACTGGTTGGCCTTTTTTTTTTTCTCTGTCTTTTTATTTGTTCCAATTAATCACACATGACAGTAGAATGCATTTTTGACACTTCACACATAAAGAATGTAATTTCTCATTCTTCTGGTTAAACATGATGTAGAATCACACTCCTCGTGTACATAGGGTAATAATGTCAGATTCAGTCTACTATCCTTCCAACCCCATGGCCCTTTCACTCCCCTCTACCTAATACAAAGTAACTGTTCTTCCCTAGCACCTTCACTTATTGTGAATTAGCATCCACATATCAGAAAAAAACATTTGGCCTTTGGTTTTTGGGGGATTGACTTATTTTGCTTAGTATGCTATTCTCCAGCTCCATCCATTTACTGGCAAATTCCATCATTTTGTTGTTCTTTATGGCTGAGTAATATTCCATGGTGTATATATCCACATTTTCTTTATCCATTCATCTGTTGAAGGGCACCTAGTTTGGTTCCATAATGTAACTATTGTGAGTTGAGCTGCTGTATACATTGATATGGCTGTGTCACTGTAGTACACTGATTTTAAGTCCTTTGGGTATAAACCAAAGAGTGAGATAGCTGGGTAATTTGGTGGTTCCATTCCAAGTTTTCTGAGGAGTCTCCATACCATTTCCGTAATGGTTGTACCAGCAATGTATGAACATTTTCCTCTATATCCTCACCAACGTTTATTGTTGCTTCTGTTCTTGATTTTACTTCTTGTACTTTTTAAGAGTCTTGTTAAGAAAGTCAGATCCTTGGGCAACGGAATGAAGATTTGGGCCTTCTTTTTCTTCTGTTAGGCACAGGGTCTCTTCTAGTGCCTAAGTCTTTGATCCACTTTGAGTTGAGTTTTGTTCAGGGTGAGAGAGAGGGGTTTAATTTCATTTTGTTTCATGTGGATTTTAGTTTCCCAGCACCATTTGTTGAATAGGCTATCTTTTCCCAGAATGCTTTTGGTGCTTTTTGTCTAGTATGAGATAACTATTTATGTGGGTTTATCCCTTTGTCTTTTATTTTTGTGCCATGGTTTGACTTTTTTTTTCCTCTTTTTAATATTTATTTTTTTAGGGTAGATGGACACAACACAATGCCCCTATTTTTATGTGGTGCTGAGGATTGAACCCGAGTCCTGTCTGTGCTAGGCAAGCACTCTACCACTGACTCACAATCCCAGCCCCGTGACTTTTTTTTAAGAAAGGTATCTCAGAGTAGTGAAAAAGCCCTTTGGAGTCAAAAGAATGGAGTTCAAGTTCATATGCATATGAGACCTTAGGAAATCACTTTAATTTTTCTAAATCTGAATTCTTTCTGAATGAAAATATGAGAGTGCTAGTTATAAAAGTTAAATAAGATAAAATGAGTTTCATTTTGTAAATTACAAGGTACTAAGCAACTACTAATAAATTTGGGGGGGGGCTCAAGCGGTAGCGCGCTCACCTGGCATGCGTGCGGCCTGGGTTCGGTCCTCAGCACCACATACAAACAAGATGTTGTGTCCGCCGAAAACTAAAATAATAAATATTAAAATTCTCTCTCTCTCTCTCTGAAAAAAATAAAATAAATAAATTTTTTTTAAATTTAAAATTATACTTGATCTTAATGTTTATTTTATGACCTTTTCTTTTTTGCTACCAGGGATTGAACCCAGGGGTGCTCTATCTACCACTGAGCCACACCCCCAGCCCTTTTTATTTTTTATTTTGAGACAGGGTCTTGCTAAGTTACATAGGGCCTCAGCCTCCTAAGCCACGGGGGTTATAGGAATGTGCCACCATGGCTGGCCCTTTTTTTAGTCAATATAAACATCAATGACAAACTCTTTAGATGGTTCTACTTTAGAAGTCTGTTCTCCCTCCTAAATAATTGTATGTAATCACTATTATAAGTGTGAGCCTGGTGTAGTAGCATGCACCTGTTTTCCCAGCTGAGGCAGGAGGATCACTTGAATCCAGGAATTTGAGACCAGCCTGGGCAACTTAGATTCTATCTCTTMCCCCCATTTCATCCCCCCAGTAATAATACAACACAAACACTGTGTATGTATATGTATGTGTCAGTCATGTGCACACTCACACATGTATGTTTTCCAAGCTGGGAATATAGCTAAGTAAGAATGCTTGCTTAGCATGCTTGAAGCCCTGGGTTTGATCCCCAGCACTACAAAAAGAAAGAAAGAAATATGGTAATTCATTTCTAGGTTCTTCCTATCTTATTTATTTGCTTCTCATAATAATGAGTAAATGATGTCTTTTTATTTTTTTAGTGCCCAGGATTGAACCCAAGGTGTTGCTGTGTTATCCCCAGCCCAATGATATTATTTTAATAAAATCTAATTCCAAGAAAAATTCTTTACATTACTACCCCTAAATATCTCTTACCCTGTATGTATGTGTGCATACATGCCAAAACCATAGTCTTTGCTTTGTCCTAAACATTTTTTCTTACTTCATATGGTGTCAGTTCCTTTGTTCACAGTAAGCTATTAGCTCCACTGGACTTTTGTTTCCTAGAACATGCCAAGCTCCTCCTTGCAGAAGGTCCTTCACATTTGCTGTTTGCTCTGCCTAGAAAATGCTTGCCTTAGATTTTCCCATAACTGCTTTCTCACCATCAGGCTTTAGCTTACACATTACTCATGTTGCTTCTTAACAAAGGTTGTAGCAAGCACTCTATCAAAGTAGCACCTGGTTCTAGGATCTGTATTACCCTCATGGCACTCTGAATATATTTTTTTGTATCTTTGCTCATTGGCCTGTAAGCTCTACAATGCTAAGGACTCAATGATTATTTGTTGAATAAATGAATTTATCTTGAGTCTCTAGTTATTACTAAATATTCCTTTTATTTCTTTTAATATTCAGGATTTTGGAGATGGAGGTGCCTTTCCAGAAATCCATGTGGCCCAGTATCCCCTGGATATGGGACGAAAGAAAAAAATGTCAAATGCACTGGCCATTCAGGTGGATCCTGAGGAAAAATTAAATATGATGCAATTGCTCGACAAGGACAGTCAAAAGACAAGGTAATCTCTCATTGGGTTGTTCTTTGTTTTTTGTTTTCCTCATTGATGAATGTTTTGTGAGGTTTTTTATTTTTGTTTTTGTTTTGTGTGTGTTATATTAATAGTAGCAGTGAAGTTAGGGACACAGCTAAAATGGAAGAGCTCTTGCCTAGCATGAACAAGACCCTGGGTTCAATTCCTAGCACCAAAAAATATATAAAAGTATCAATGAAGTATGCTTAGGTTAACTTTGGTACTGTATCCAGTAGTGACTTGTCTTGAAATTCTACACAAATTGTTGAGCTAGGGGAAGGGGCAGTACTGGGGATTGAACCCAGGGCTGCTTGTTGTTTTTTTTGTGTGTGTGTGTGTATGGTGCTGAGGATTGAACCCAGGGCTTTGTTCATACAAAGTAAGCACTCTACCAACTGAGCTATATCCCCAGCCCTCCCAGTGGTATTCCTAACTACTGAGCTGTATCCTCAGCCCTCTCTATTTTGAGGATAGGATGTCACTAAGCTGCCTAGCCTGGCCTTGAACTTGAGATCATCCTGCCTCACCCTCCTGAGTAGCTGGGATTAAAGGTATATGCCACAATGCCTGGCTGACACTCTAATATTTAAAGTCTACAATTCTAAAACCCTAATAAAGTCAACCCTTTTTTTTTTTTTTTTTGGCAATGCTGGGAATTAAACACAGTGCCTCCTTGTGCTAGGCGAATACTCTACAACTGAGGCTACACCCACCAAAACCAAAATCTACTTTTAATTTTGTCTGCCATCTCTTCTAATTCCCACCATATGCTAACAGAATACATTTTTAGATGCTTATTTTATTTATTTATCTTAAATTTGTGTATGTGTTATTGTCCAAAGGACTTTGCTCATGCTCTACCCCTGAGCTATATCCCAGCTCTTATTTTAATAGTTCATTTGAATTATAAACACAAGCTTCTTTTGCCCTAGATTAAGAACAAAACTAGCATTTGCATGCAGATTTAGGATGGCCCTGCTTGCAAAGTAATCCAAAAACCAAAAATAAAATTTGCTTAAAATAATCTCATCACATAGCGGCTATGCCCAGAGCCAAGGAACTATTTTTGAGGAGACCTAGTTTGGTTTTTCTCCCCCTTGTAAATAAATACTTGAGATAGAAGTAAAACATTTCTTTAGAATTGATGATGTTGGAAAAAAATACCTGAGAGCTTTCAGAACCTATCCTTTGCTTCTCTCTCCCAGACTTTTTTATTTTGCCTTCTAAAATAGTACTGACAGCCCATCCTTAGTCCTCCAACAGGACTGCTGAGCTTTTTGGAAAAATGCAGGCATTCAAATTTATATCTTCAGCCCTGCTCCCTTCTTGCTACCACCAACTTGTGTGTAACTCCTGCTTCTCTCCATCCTGTCTTATCCTGAACAAGTAATTCACATCTATTTCAGTATAAAGACAGAAGAAAACTGGCAACTTTATTCTGCATTTACCTTTTTCTTTTTGTTTCCATAAGAAATACCTTCTCTCTAAGCCTGATCTTTTTATTTTAAATTTCCTAGTATTTACATTTCAAAAGTTATAAGAAATGGTTGAAATGGATATTGAGTTCTGTGATTATAATCAAAGCCTCATCTTGCCATATGTATTCTGGTTCACAATCCCTTCTCTTTCCCTCCAAATCTCACATATTAGTTATTCTTCTCAACTGTCTTTTGAATTCTAACTGCAAGTCTTTGAGTTCTGACACTCCTTCCCATTAGCATTTGAATGTGCCTGCTTTTCTTATCTTTTGAAAGAAAAACTTTCTTGACTATCCTTAAAGCTCCCTCTAAGCTACCACCTAATTTCCACTTAATTTTCTTAAACTTTTCTCAAGATTCTTTATAAAGAGCTGGATTTCATGCTACTTCACTTCCCTTTAATTCTCTAATTCACTAGTWTGGCTTCACCTCAACCTATTTGTGGTGGTAGCTTTCTGACAAAGATCTCTGACACTTTCAGAGTGCATTCTCCTTAACTTATATATAATTTATTTCCATGGGTTCAGTTACCATTCATAGGTTGATAACTGTTGAATCTGTGTTTCCAGCCCAGACAGTTATACAGAGATTTCCCTAAAATGCTGTGTAATCAAATCCAAACCTAAATGTATAATTTGTCTCTTAATCTATCTGCTGTATTCTCTAATTCAGTGAATGATGGTGATATCTTTCTCATTGCCTATACCAAAGCCTCAGAGAGTCCTGTTTTCTCTTATTTTATAGATTTTTAAAATATTACACATGTAATATATTCTCATGGTAAGATAACAGTGGTATATACAGGATGTACAGCATATATACTCTAAAGCTATGTATACACTGCATACATACTATATATAGAGTATATATACTGCATATATATGTATGTATATATATACACACACACACACACACACACATGCGCKTATATATATACTGTGTATACTACCTGAAGGAGACATGCACCAAACCAAATGCAGCTTGAATCAAGTGAAGGCTTCCAATATAAATCCTGCATGTATAGGGGCCTCATTTTCCTTTTGCAGGGGTAGATTATGCTTCCTCAATGACTTCAGATGAAGCTTTTTTTTTTTTGGATACCAGGGATTGAAACCAGATTTACCCTGAGCTACAGCTATATAGTATATATATGTGTGTATGTATGGTGTGTGTATATGCACACACTATATACATATATACATTGTATATGTATATATGTATATAGTATATATACTATATATATAAGTATGTGCAGTCCTACCTGGTTTTCTCTTATTTTACCTGCCAAAGATAACTAGTTKTACTACAGTGATGTATATCTTTCCAGACTTTTATTGTTGATTTCGATATTGACATAATTTTTCTTAACTTTATATATGCATATTCATTTATAAACAGATTTTTATATGAATGGGATTTTAATACAACTTCCTTTGACCTTTTTTTAACTTAATGTTTTGAAGATTTTTGTTAGTATACATAGGTTATGTGTTAAAAAAAAAATCTAGGGCTGGGGATGTGGCTCAAGCGGTAGCCTGCTCGCCTGGCATGCGTGCGGCCCGGGTTCGATCCTCAGCACCACATACCGACAAAGATGTTGTCTGTCGAGAACTAAAAAATTAAAAAAAACAAAAAATCTATACATACTTCCATGGTGTAGTTACACCCTAAGTTTTAAATCATTGGTAGTTTTTACTTTTTATTTTTTGGTTTTGCAAATAGCACTTTATTTAAGATAGATACAAACCTTTTTGTGTGTAGAATAAATTCTTAGATGTGGACTTCACTGAGTCAAAGGATATTCCAGTTTCAAATATGACACTGCCAGTATGCTCTCCCTGTGCTTAACAATCATTCTAGTTCTTTAGTTTCTTCTAGACCCTCCATCTATTTAGGAACCGTGCTCTATGTAATTTCCTTAATACTTCTCAAGTATTCTTCCTTTCCTTACTACTTAATTCAGGCCATTATTATTTTTGCTTRTCTTACCACAGCAAAGTCTCAGCCCATCTATTTTGCATTTGTCTTGCCTGCCAGAAAAAAACAGACACATCATGTCTGCTGTTCTCTTTCCTCTACATATACACATAGAAGTGTACATGCTTACAATCTTTACTTGCTTCCATGGTCTTCTGGATAAAGGCCAACCTCCTTATGGCAAGCTTGCCCCTTTGCTTACCTTCCTAGTCTAGCCTCAATTCTCAGGACCAGTATACTGAAATAAAAAGTAAACAGTTTAGTTTTAGCCATTATATTTATTTTCAATATAAAATAAGCATTATAGGTAGTTGGAAAAATTTTCATGCCTTCTCAAAAATCTTCCATGAAGAACTACTTTTAGTTCTCCTAATATGACACATTCTCTCTTATCTTGAGAACTCTCATGGACATTCTTCTTGTGCCTGGAGCACTCTACCCTTGACTAAGTTCTATTGCTTTCGGATCTCAGCTTATTCTTTACTATTCCAGGATACTCTCCCTGATCTTCCCTGGCTACGTCGGCTCTCTCCTCATTAGTCCCAGTGTTTTTCATAGCAGTTTAACACATTTGACTATGAGCTGTTGTAGGGCAAGGATTGGATATTTTCTTTTTTCCTCTTCAGGTACATTAGTGCCTGAAAGCTTGTCACACAGGCATTTACCAGTGTTTCTTAGGTGAATAATATCAGTATTCATTGTATAACAGAAAACCACTTCTTGCCAGGAGTGGTGGTGCATTCCTGTAACCCCAACGACTTGGGAGACTGAGGCAAGAGGATTGTCAAATTCAAGGGCAGCCTTCCCCATCTAGCGAGGCCCTAAGCAACTTAACAAGATCCTGTCTCAAAAAATAAAAAGGCTGGAGTTGTAGCTTAGTGGTAAAGCTGGTATGGGGGGKAAAAAAACTTAATCTGAAGTCATTGAGGAAGCATAATCTACCCTACAAAAAGAAAATAAGAGGCCCGTATATGTGCAGGATTTATATTGGAAAGCTTCACTTGACTCTAGCATTTGTTTTAGTGCATGTCTCCTTCTGGAATAATTATTTTACTGGTATGATGTGCTACCTCTCTACTCTCATCAGTTAGGAAAAAGCAACATTTTGGGACAATAATTTGACATTGGCAAATACAAAATATTGTAATATTTTGAATTAAATACAGCTTTGCATTATATTTCAAAAATGGAAACAAAGAATTTTGTTTGGTTTATAGGAAATGTCTGAAAATATTTTTATTTCTGTGACAACGATCTATATTGATAGTTATATAAAAAAAATAGAGTTAAAACTGAACCATTTATTTTTGGATTTCAGTACTTTGACCCAGTAAAGTCTCTAAAGCTTTGTTCCTTTATACAGTGACATTATTTCCATGCTTATATGCTTGACTATAATGCAACCACTAGAACTGAACCCCAAACTGGTAATTTAGAGAAGTACCACTCTCAAGTTCACACTGTTTTTTTGTTTGTTTATTTATTTATTTTTAGTTAAAAGTGGATGGATTAATGCATGAAGTTTTGGAATGCATTTAATAATTCAAATTTAACAGAGTACACATTATATACCATTGGCATTTTGAGTGTGACATTACTTGATTATTCAGCACTATCTTGAGCTTTGTACAATGTTTAACATAATTGATTCTACCTGTAAAATGCCACTAGTGTCCCACTCAACCACCATTGTTTTAACCAGAAACACCTTCTACGTTTATAAATGCTATAGGAGGGGAGCTGGAGGTGGCAGCAAAACCCTGTATGAAAAGCATTGATTTTCTATTTTAAAAGAAATGGGAATCGACTACTTACTGTACAAAATGGAATTTTTAAAATTCATGATCATTTAGGAGACTTATGCAGAATTCTCAACAAAAGATGAAAATGGTTTTTAGGATTTTTTTATTTGCACTGTAGTGCAAAGATTCCTAACTTATCTCAGAGGAATCTGACCGTAGAATTCTCACTAAAATATTAATTGAGAGCAGGAATGGAAATTCTAGCCAGGCACAGTAGTGCATGCTACACGAGGTTGCAGCATGAGGATTGCAAATTGGAGGTCAGCCTCAGTGACTTAACAAGATTCTTGGCAACTTAGCAAAACCCTATTTCAAAATTAAAATTAAAAAAATAAAAGACAAGGGATATAGTTCAGTGGTAAAGCACCCCTGGATTCATTCCCCAGTGCCCCTTCCTCCAAAAATGCCAATTTTAGCAATAARTATTAAGAGGTAAAGAGAATAAGTCAGGATTCCACAAGGTAATATTTATATCAAGTTGTAAGGCCACTGATCTCTGTGCATTTAAAGTAAGTACTGTGAATATGACTTGTTGTAATACAAAATAAGATAGAAAGAAAGTTTCTTGGAATAAATCTTGATAGAACTAAATGCTTCTCTCCTTTTCAATTATGAACTTCAGTGACAATTCTTGAAATAAAGGCCCTAGTATATGTGGTTTTCTTTCTGAAATAGTTTCATAGAAGATGTTATATACATGATATTACCTAAAAGAATGCTAACTACATCCTAAAAAAAAAAAAAACCCTAACAACTTTAAACTGACCCTATGATAAATATGTTATTAATTTTTTATGAGAGCTGGGGCTGTGGCTCAGAGGTAGTGTACCTGCCTGGCATGTGTGAGGCACTGGGTTCAATTCTCAACACCACATAAAAATAAATAAATAAAATAAARGTCTATCAACAACTAAAAAAAATTTTTTTTTAAATATTTTTTATGATTACACAAAGTAATCTATTTTTACACGGTGAGTATGTTGACGGATTCATCCTTTCAGTTAGTCTAGTTCTTTGCCTATTTTCAGTAATAAGGAATTATCTGTTTTACAGAAGAGTTCCTCCTTTATCTTATTCACTAAGCTCATTTATGCTTCTGCCTTCAAGGATATATTGTAGTTTTCAGATAACCCTATCCAGCCCCATTACCTCCTGGAATGTACTGAGTTTCAGCACATTTGGTCCTCAGGCTATAAAAATTGGGGGTTTTATAGTTAATTATCATGGAGGAATCTTACTCTTCAGATGTCCTTCACTCAGCCTTGTGAGATGGTAGAATCTTACTGATGCTCATTTAAAGGGTTATTAACTTTGGAATACCCAAATAAGAAACAGCAAATGGCTCTTGTATGCTAAATTAGTATTGAGACTTTATGTGAACTTATATGACTACCAAGAACCATTTGCTTAGAATCTTCCTATAGTGATTGCTGTATGAAAATGATTATTAACCCTTCATAGTCTAGGTATTGTCTTCTGTAGTGTTGTTATATAATTTTCAATTTGTGTAGTATGGATTTTTCCTTCCTGAAAAGAAGACATTTGGTGTTTGTTAGAAGCTGTGTAATCTTTTTTTTTTTTAAGACATTTATTATATTTTTAGGTGTAGATGGACTGAACCCAATGCCTTTATTTTTATGTGGTGCTGAGGATCGAACCCGTGTCCRGCCCGTGCTAGGCGAGTGCTCTACCACTGAGCCACAATCCCAGCCCAAAGCTATGTAATCTTAATGTAGTGAGCCTAACTTCTCATTAAAGTCAACTTTAGGATCCCTTCCAAAATAAACCTTGAAGGATGATAACATTAATAGCTCACATGTCAATAGGACATCTTGTGCTAAATTTGTACTTTCTTACCTGATCCCGCTTCTCATTCTTTAGAGAAATAAGCTAAAGATTTCAGTTTATACCTGAGGTAGTTTTTTCCAAAGTTGGTCCTATAGTACCTAAAATATAAGTACCCGTAGCATGTGATAAAACTTCTTTAAATTAATTTATTCATTAATTTGTACAAAAAAATAACTAAATATCTCTTATGCACCAAGCATTGTTATAGGCACCAGAAATACTTTCATGAATATTTTCATCAGTAGTACAGCTATAATCATCGTACCTATCAGGGTTGATACTAAGGTCAAATTAATTAATGTGTGTATTAAAACAAAAAGTGACATAATATGTGCTCAATAATGTTAGCCTTTTTAAATAGGGAAAATAGTAAACAAGTAGAATAAATAAATAATTTCATACTATGAATAGCACTTTGAAGACAGTAAAGAGTGATGTGAAGCAGAATGGTTGAGGAAGGGGCTGCTGCTTTCACAAGGCTAGTCAGGCCTCACCAGTATGGGCCCTTTTGATCTGATGCAGAGATGAAGAACTGGGATCAGTATTCTGTAAAGGTTCAGAACTGGTGGGAAAGCATGTTTAAGGAACAGAAGAGCTGTGTGACTGAAACATGCATGAAGGAGTGAGAATTTATGGAGGGAGATTGATGCTGCAGGCAAAGCCAGGTCAGGTCAAGTAAGCCTGAGAATGTCTTGGTCCACTGTTTGAAATGGGAAATAAGGAATAATGTACATTTCCCTAAACAGTTTTAAGAACTGTCATATGATAGGACAAAATTATTAGTATAAGACTTTGACTTATATTTTTCTTCTGTAGAAAACTTTTGAAGGTTTCAAATGCTTAGGAATTTTAATTTCTTTCGTATTTATAAGTCGTTCTTTTTTGTCAAAGAATTCTAATTAAAGCATTAAAATCTAGAATGCCTATTATTTTAGTGTTTAAATTTCTGTGATCTCTTTTTCTTTAAAATATGCATTTTTTAACTATAGATGTCTGTAAAAGCAAGTAATATTCTGTTTGTTGGGGGCCTATCACCCATGGTCAGTCTAAAATGAATCTATATTGAGCCTACCAGTCTTGATTTTGGGTATAAAATAAGTTATGTATATAGGATGTATTTTGTTTTTTCTCTTTCATTTTTGTCTAACATCGAAGAGAATGTTCTGGGTTTTTTCACTGTGGCACATATTCATTTTCTTAGTCTGTGAATAGAATTGATGGCAAAAAAAGAGAAACATTATAAATACGATGAGGTCAATGAAATTTTCTAGGCCCAGTGAATTTGGAAATTATTTGGTAACCTGACTTAAATTCTGATGAGTTTTTAATCCGAGATAATGGTTCTTTGGGCAATTTATATCATCATTAATTTCAAGTCCTAGTGAGCCTCAAAAATAGAGATCACTGATGCATAAGATTTTGTTGGCACAATTTATTTTGATTCTGACTTGATTAGAAGATCTCAAATAATTTAAATGCATGGGGTCAAAGGAAAATTATTAAYTTACAGCCCAGGCAGCAATTTGTGTATGTAGTTTAAGCTTTCTTGGTTTTAAAATCAAAAAGACAAAACTGAGTGTCCTAAATTTATAAGTGTGCTGAGAGGACATGTTGACATCTGGAATGACTTAATGAGGTTGCATTTTTTCATTCTCTGCTTGCTTGTGTTTAAACATTTCAGGTCATTTATAGCAAATACACTGACCTGGTTCCAAAGGAGGTTATGAATGCAGATGATCCAGACCTACAAAGACCTGATGAAGAAGCTATTAAAGAGGTAACTGGGAATTGATATATATATATAATTATCTTAGATGACTTTTTACATCCTTATTAACTTCCAAACCACTCAGTATGATGTTTCTTATTTCAGATAACAGAAAAGACAAGGGTAGCCTTAGAGAAATCAGTAAGCAAAAAGTTTGCCGCAGCCATGCCAATACCAGCAGCTGATAAACTGGCTCCTGCTCAGTACATCCGGTATGAGGCCTGGAATTCTTAATTTCTCTTCAGACTTCATTTGACTTAAGAGTTCTGGTATTCATTCAATATCCTACATAGTCATAATTATAAATGAATTGTCTTGAATAGGGATGTCTGTTGACTCCTTGCAAACAATTTAAAGCAGAATTTTTAAAGATGTCCACATTAAGATGTATGCTGTTATTGATATTTTCAAAGTATTTTTTTTATTTTAGAAAATAAGTTACTTGTGGTATATGATCCTAACCACAATTGTTATAGTTTTCCTATTGAATATAATAGACGACCTTACAATCCTTCTGAATTTTGAGGGGCTTCACTCAACTAAATCTTTGTGTGGACAAATGATTCACATATAGACTTTAAAGAAAAACTCAGAGCTGCTAGGGCTGCTGCCATTATTTTTTCTCTGTTTCACAACTTAATCAAAAACTGCTGTGAGATGCCTGCTGGGATTTTTATGTGGGTAGTTTTTCCTCAAATACACACTTAGAAAATAGCTACTATTTCTAGACCTCCTCTCTGTGAAACTGAACAATTATACTTTCCATGTTAGAAAATGGATGAGGATGGATTATTGACAATCTAACCACTCCAGTTTACATTGTTTGTAACTCATAATTCCTGCTAATTCTCTTMTTTCTGTTCCTGATGGCTCTGCTTAGATATTTTGTAATTTTCTGTTAATCCTTTGTGAAGAGATTTGAAAGTGTAGTCTCTTAAGATTATAATAGGAAAATACCTACTGAAAACTTGAATTAGTTACACCCTTAGTTTCCATCTACTTTCTTTAGGTACACACCATCTCAGCAAGGAGTAGCTTTCAACTCTGGAGCTAAACAGAGGGTTATTCGAATGGTAGAAATGCAGAAAGATCCAATGGAACCTCCAAGGTTCAAGTAAGTAGATTGTTTCACAAGACTGAACCACTGTTCTTAAAGATATTAAAGGAGAAAAATGTCCCAAATGTTCTTAAAGATATTAAAGGATATTTGATATATAATGTCTTATATTTAATGTCTTATATATAATATCTTAAAGATGCTAACCACTGTTCTTAAAGATATTAAAGGAGAAAAATGTCCCAGTTAAAAAGTGGGATGCATATGGCTCACCTCTGTAATCCCAGTGACTCAGGAAGCTGAGGCAGAGGATTGCAAGTTCAAGGCCAGCCTCAGCAACTTAGGAAGGCTCTGTCTCAAAAATACAAAAAAGGGCTGGGGATGTGGCTCAGTGGAAAGCACCACTAGGTTCAATCCCTAGTACCCAAAAAAAAGTCTTCAAAAGAAAAAAAAAGTAGGGGCTGGGCTGTAGCTCAGTGGTAGAGTGCTACCTTGCATGTGTCAGGCACTGGGTTTGATCCTCAGCGCCACATAAAAATAAACAAAGATACTGTGTTCATCTACAACTAAAAAAAATTTTTTAAGTATATTAATACAATAATGTAGATGAATCTCAAGATAATTATGCTGAGTAAAAGGTAAAAACAAGTACATATAGTATGATTCCATTTATATAAAACTCTAGAAAATGGAAACTATGGTAATAAAAGGTAGAACAGTGCTTGCCTGTGGAAAAGGAGATGGTGTCAGAAGAAGGGAGAGTAAGTGCAATGCAGAAACTTCTGGAGCGATGGATATGTTCACTGTGTTAATTGTGATACTGTGTCAGATGTATCTTTCTGGCAAAATTTTAATTAAATTTTTTTAAAAATTTATTTCTTAGTTGTAGATGGACACAATATCTTTATTTTATTTTTATGTGGTGCTGAAGATCGAATCAAGGGCCTCGCACGTGCTAGGCAAGCGCTCTACCACTGAGCCCTAACCCCAGCCCCAAATTTTAATCAAATTTTACACTTTAAATATGTATAGTTAATTATATGTCAGTACACATATTGTTATTATGTAACAATAATGTTGGGATGTCAGCTGAGTAACAATGATGACAGCATTGACCGCATTTTAATAATTGCTGATGCCAAATGATAGGTGTAGATGGACATTCATTATATCTGTTTCTGCCTGTGTTTAAAGCTTTTCACAACAAAAAATAAGAAGGAGAAATTTGAGATATAAAAACTAAAAGGGCAAAAAAGTATATCACTCTCTGTGTTTGATTTCTCTTTCAGGATTAATAAGAAAATTCCCCGAGGACCACCTTCTCCTCCTGCGCCTGTCATGCACTCTCCTAGTCGAAAGGTATTCTTTGCTGTAGTTCATGATCTCGTTTTTACTATTAATTTCATAAATAACCTCCCTCTGCCTAAAGGTACATGTCACCAAACTGATAAGATTTCTTTTGTCAATATCAAATAATGACCCAGTCAAGACTACAAAGTACTGCTTCTAGAATGCATATGTATGTGAAATGTTAGCTATTTTATTATTAGTAACTTAAACCCTTCTTCTAATGAAATGAACAGGATCTGTTTCACATGAAGGATATCCCATATGAGTACCATGGGTTCATTAGGTCTCCAAATGATAATATTAAAGGACTTTTTTAATTACCCCAAAAGAACAAGTTTTCATCTGAAAGGTAACACATAACTTTGTGGAAAAATACCAGCCAGCATTTTTAAGTGTCAGAGATAATTTCTAGATTCTTTTCCATTTTTTACTATATTAAAATTATTAATAGAATCCATGGTATGGGAACACAGTATATAGTGCTACCAAAACAAATGGAATTTTACACTTTGACAAAATCTGTCCATTAATTGTTGTATATGGAAGAGTCTTTGATGAGAAAGATCATACTTGGGTTTTTAGCTAGACTGTGAATCTATAAAAATATCACACTTCTCTTGCTCTTTTCTCAACTCAGATGACTGTAAAGGAACAACAAGAGTGGAAGATTCCTCCTTGTATTTCCAACTGGAAAAATGCAAAGGTAATTAATTTAATAATTGTAAGATTAGTCTCCATTATAATCTACTACTTCAGTTGAAACTTTAGCACCTTATCTAAATGATCTCAGAAAGGAATGCCAGGGACTGAGGGTATATATAGCTCAGTGCTATAACTCATGTTTAGCATGTATAAGACCATGGGTTTGGTTCCTAACACCCACACCAAAAATTTAAAAGACCAATTTATTTGACTTTCTAAAATATAAATGTTAGTATGCCAAGCTTATGATTACCATGTAGACTCCTTTAGTGTATTTTAGCTATCATACTGGGCACAGTGGTGCACACCTGTAATTCCAGCAGTTCAGGGGGTCGAGGCTGGAGAATGGTGAGTTCAAAACCAGCCTCAGCAACTTAGCGAGGCCCTAAGCAACTTAGGGAAACCCTTTCTCTAAGTAAAAAGGGGATATGGCTCAGTAGTTAAGAGCCCCTTCGTTTAATCCACAATAAAAAGAAAAGAAAAATGGAGCTGGGGATATAGCTCGATTGGTAGATTGCTTGCTTCACATGCAATGACCTGGGTTCAATCCCAGCACCCAATCCCACCCTCCTGGCCCCCCCCAAAAAAGAAAGAAACCAGTCTCAATGATGATGTGAGAAAATAACAGTAAATATTTGGATATTTTTAGTACTTTAATTTTCAACTATTGGTCTCTGTTTATAACATTGCAGGCTTAGGCTATTTAAATCCTGCAGAAATCTACTAACCAAAGCCTCCAGGAGTTATTAAGAACCTGTAAAATATGGGATAAATTGACTAATCACTATATCATGCTCCAAATTATATTGTGATTCTATTTTTGATGGGCGAAAAAGGCCAATTTAACCCTTGAATTAAATGTAAGTTCTTCCTTAAAGGAAGTGCTGTCCTCATCCCACAGGTAGGTTGGCTAGTCTGATTTAGTCTGATTAGTATATACTGATTAGTATAGTATGTGGTATATTAAGTATTTGATTCTGTAACACTTTGTTTTGTTAGGAGACCATGGACTAGAGGTCAGTGTTTGGGAATCTAGTCAGAAATCTGGAAGAACAAAGTTTTCATWCCAAAATGGGATGAAAACTTCAGAATGTAGAATCGGGGTTTTTTTAGGGTTTGATATTTTTATTTGGTAACTCATTCATGCATCAAATGTTTTATTACTGTCTTTAAAACTGAAATACACACTTTTTAAAGGGCTTAATTGTTTTGAAACTATAAAATGAAGCAAGAAAAACCTTTATATTAGTGGTAAAATTTAGCAGTTGCCTAAATTGTACTTTGCAGAATTTCAACCTTAATAAAGGTTCACTTACTGGTTGAAAGAAATTCTCCTTTTAACTAATGGACATTTATTTTTTTAAATTATTACCACACACTCTAACTAAAGGATCAAGGTTTAGAAACTCAATTACATAGTAAACTTTATCTTTTTCCCCCCCATTTACTAAAACTTAGAATCTAGTAAATATTGAAGGAGTATAGCAAATTAATATCCAAAGATTATTGTGATTTGGGTGCTACCTTTGTGTGACTTGATACTTCTATTCATGGAGTAGCTACTTGGCTGTTTGAATAGTGATTTTCTTTTATTGTACTCCACATGAAAATCTGTTTTTCCAGAGCTTGGGCTCTGAAGACATGCTGTCCGAGTTTAAGTACTAGTTTATCCATTTACTATTCATACGACTTTAGGGACATTACCTAAGCTCTCTCTCACTATTTTGATCTGTGAAATGTTTATAATATTAACAGCTTTATACTTTTTGTGTCGATTGATGCCATAGAGGTAAAGTGTTTGCTTAATCCTCCATACAAAGCACTCATTGTTACTTGCTCTTATTTTTCATAATTGTGAAGAAAGATATAAGAAAAAAACTTTATGTGGTCTTAGAATGGACAGGTCTTAATTTCATTTTACATATTTATTGTAGCTCTTCTGTGACTGGTATCTTCTGTCTGCTTTTACCCTTCCTAGGGTTATACAATTCCATTAGACAAACGTYTAGCTGCTGATGGAAGAGGACTTCAGACAGTACACATAAATGAGAATTTTGCCAAACTGGCTGAAGCGCTGTACATTGCTGATCGGAAGGTTGGTCTGCTATAATTATAATTTTTTAAATTAAATTCATGGTAATTTGTAAATCCATTCTTATTTATTTAAGGTACTCTTAATTTAGCTCCAGTACTGAAGGATGATTCAGCTACCTAGGCTAATCCAATTTTGCAGAGATTGTTAGATTTTGTTCTGTATTTTATAATTTTCCTGCTTTAGATGTAGATGTTGCCCAAAAGGGGCAGTTACAGGATTAATTGAATACTACATAAAATAGTATAATGATATTGAGTTTTGATATTATATATTAAATGTTATTAAATGTTATATGTGTTATATATTAAATGTTATGATATATATTAAATGGTCTTAAACTGTGAACTTCAAGTTCACATGGCATAAATGTCATCTTTGATATAGGGAGAGCAACTAAGAACAGAATAGGGAGGAAGAGCATGAGAAGAAGATCACCATTAAACAGGGTCGAGAATGGGGAGGGAAAGAGAGATAGAAGGGAAATTGCATGGTAAAGGAAGGAGACCCTCATTGTTATACAAAATTACATATAAGAGGAGTGAGGGGAAAGGGGAAAAAAAATGAATTAGAGAGAAAAATGAATGAGAGAGAAATGAATTACAGTAGATGGGGTAGAGAGAGAAGATGGGAGGAGAGGGGAGGGGAGGGAAGGGGGGATAGTAGAGGATAGGAAGGGCAGCAGAATACAACAGACACTAGTATGGCAGTATGTAAAAAAGTGGATGTGGAACCGATGTGAATGTATATGGGGTAAAAATGGGAGTTCATAATCTGCTTGAATCAAATGTATGAAATATGATATGTCAAGAGCTTTGTAATGTTTTGAACAACTAATAATAAAAAAAAAGTTCACATGGCATGTGTTTAGTATGTAGAAAAGATTGTCTTCTGTATCACAATGAATTCCCTTATAAACATTATCTCTTTAAAAACTTCGCCAGATATGAGGGCACRCTTGTGCAATCCAAAGTGCCCAAATTTGAAGCCAGCCTGGGCACCTTAGCAAAATAAAACAAGAAAATCTATCTCAAAATAAGAAAAAAAGGGGGTGGGGTGGGCGTTTCTAGGTACATAGCTAACTGATAGAGCACTTCCCTAGCATGCCTAAAACCCTGGATTTGATCCCCAACATCCAAAAAAAAAACACATAAATATCAATAAATATATATATATATCTCTGTTAGGCTTAAGTTTTATCTTGAGTTAGATAATTTTTTTTTGTTTTTGTTCTTTAATTGTTCTGAGAAGAGGTCTGTTAGTTGTCCAGACTAATCTCAAATTCCTGGGCTTAAGTAATCTTCCTTCCTGAGCCTCCCAAGTGCTGGGGCAATAGACATGCAGCTCTGTGCTAGCTAATTTTTTATTTTTAGATTTTTTCATGAGAATGCATTAGTAAACACTTGACTTAGAAGATTGATTGGGGTCACAATAGTTTCAGCCATTAAAACACTCCCCAGGGTGAAAAACCTACCTTGCACTGTTTTCTACGCAGGATATCTTATTTTAATCAGCAGTTACAAATATGAATTCTGTTTAATTGCTCTTCCAAGCCATACTTTAGTCATGGAGTTGGATGATAGCTGTAAATATTTGCCCCACAGTAGTGTCCTATTTAATGTCATATTTTTACTAACAGGCTCGTGAAGCTGTGGAAATGCGTGCCCAAGTAGAGCGAAAGATGGCTCAAAAAGAAAAGGAGAAACATGAAGAGAAACTTAGAGAAATGGCCCAAAAAGCCAGAGAGAGGAGAGCGGGGATCAAAACTCATGTGGAAAAAGGTACAACATTCTCTTGGTAGAATTCACTTAATGAACAGTATGTATCTCATTTTAGAAAACCTCTTTATTGTCTTTTTGTTTTTTAGTTTATACAAAAGTAATAAGTATATATAAAGAAAACTTCTGATATTTCAGAAATAGTGTAGAAATGGAAAGTAACCTCTACCTTACAAAGCTGAAGCAGCAGAAAATAAGAGAGTATATTTGAAGGTGAGCCTTTCATGTGGGAGTGTATACTAGAATTTTCAGGGGTTTTAAGTCCTGAGCAATATACAATTGGCCCYCTATATCCTCAGAAACCACATCACAGATTGAACCAACTGGCCGAAAATGTTTGGAGGGAAAAAAGAAATAACCTGTAATCTAGAGATGATTGAAAGTATAAAGGAGGACACTAAGTTTTATGCAAATACCACCTCATTTTATATAATAGAATTTAGTATGCATGCATTCAGGTATCCCTGGTGAGTGTTAGAACCAATTCCCAGGAGATATCAAGAGATGGTACTTTAAAAATCACATTATTATTTAGCTAGGCATGTTGGCACACTGCTCTAATCCCAGCTATTGTAGAGAGTAAGGTAGGAGGATCACAAATTCAAGGACAGCTCAGGCAACTTGATAAGACCTTATCTCAAAATAGAATTAAAAAGACTGATGGAGTGATTAGTCTCCATGTACAAGGGCCTGGGGGCAGGAGGGTATTAGTCAAGTGATAGGCGGGTGGGTTATTTTGGTTTTCTGTTTTAGTTTTCTTGAAATTTAGAAGGAGAAATGAGGAAGTCAGCTTGCCCATATGGTAAAATAATTCAGAKTTTTTCTCTCTTACAGGCTAATGTATTTTCTAATCATTAAAAATGCCAGTGCTGCTGGCATGGTGGCACACGCCTGTAATCTTGGGAGGCTAGACAGGAAGATCATGAGTTCAAAGCCAACCTCAACAACTTAGCAAGGTGCTAAGCAATACAGTGAGACTCTGTCTCTAAATAAATACAAAATAGAGCTTGAGATGTGGCTCAGTGGTTGAGTGTCCCTGAGTTCAATCCCCGGTACCCCCCCCCCAAAAAAAAAAAAAAACTGCCAGTGCTCCCTCTAGTTTTATTTAGTTGTCTCCATTGGTGTATTAATTCTATTGGAGTGGGGTAATTAATTCTGATTAAAGAAAATATGTTAGGGTGATTTTTGCTTCCTTAATAAATCCTGGTCTAAGGGCTGGGGATGTGGCTTAGTGGTAACGCACTTGCCTGGCATGTGTGAGGCACTGGGTTCCATTCTCAGCACTACATACAAATAAAATAAAGGTCTTTCAACAACTGGGGGGGGGGGTTAAATAAATAAATAAATATTGATCTAGTTCAAGTATTCATTCTTTCATTAATTCAGTTAACATTCTGTGCCTACTATGTGTAGGGTTTTTTTCTAGATGCAAGATTTTTCACTTGACATTGTTTGGGGGTGGGAGGGCAAGCAGTTAATTTCTGCTGGGTGTAGACAGACAAAAAAATTAATCATACAGTAATATTGATAATAATGTAATAAAAGGTAACAACTGCTACAGCCAAAAATAAACTGGGAAGCGGATATAAAAGTACCAGGAGAGGGTTTTCAGACTGGGCCTCCTTCTGAAATGATAACATTGTCACAAAAACTTAAAGATTAAGGAAGTGAGCCATGTGGCTATCTGGGGAAGAGTACTCCAGGTAGAAGGTTATAAAGCAAGTGCAAAGGGCCTGAGTTAGGAGTATGCCTGTGTGCGCAGAGAAGTATGGGGAGACCAGTATGGCCGAGAGTGGTGAGGGAGGAGAGAAATCAGAGATGTCCAGATAGTTAGGACAGGTGGGAAGAATAGTGGCCAGCCAAAATCACATGGTCTTTCAGCCATTGAGAGGACATAGCTTTTACATCAAATGACAAGAAAAACAATTGAAGGGTTTTGAACAGAACAACATTGCCACCTTTATTGAGGTATAATTGACAAATGAAAGTTACATGTATTTAAGTTGTACAGTGTGGTATTTTGGGGGGGTTTTGTTTGTTCATTTTGTTTTGTGAGTCTTGCTATGTTGCCCAGGCTGGGCTGAAGAGATCTTTCCTCTTCAGTCTCTCAAGAAGGTGGGACTAGAAGTGAACTCAGTAATATACCCAGTCTAAATTTTCTAGGCATTGCTTTTTGTTGTTTTGTTTTATTTTGGATTTTGGTGCTAGGGATTGAACCCAGAGCCTTGAACATGCTACTAATTAGCATGTAGTCTACTACTGAACCACACACCCCAATGAATAGATTCATTGGATGAGTAGATTCTGGAGAGCTAATGTACTACATGGTGACAGAATCTATTCATCCAGTTCACCCCAATGTAATGTTCTRATATATGTATACTTCATAAAAGTTTGCCTCTGGGCTGAGGCAGAGGCTGGGGCTCAGTAGTAGAGTGCTCACCTAGCATGTGTGAGGCACTGGGTTCAATTTTCAGCACCAAATATTAATTAATTAATATAAAGGCAAAAAAAAAAGACTGTTTGCCTCTGTTTAGCTAATTAACCTATCAGTCATCTTGAATAGCCAGGTTTTATTTTTACCTTAAAACTACACACATTTATTACTGTAATGAATTTCAGGGAAGCTAAACTCAAGGTGTTAGCAGTGCTGCTGCTTCCTGAAGGCATTCATTTCCATGCCTTTTCTAGTTTTAGAAGCTCCATGTTCTTTTGCTTATGGCCACTAGCTAGCAATCATGTTGTTCTGATCTCTTCCAATGTCACATCTCCTTCTCTGCCTCTCCTGCTTTCCTCTTTTTTAAAAATTAGATTTTATCTTTCTAAAAAAGTTTTATTGGTACATTTTTATTATACATGATGGTGGGATTCATCATATTCATATATGCATATAATATAATTTCTCCAGTCCCTACCTTTACCTCTCCTGCTTCCTTTCCTATTATATGGTAGTTTTTATAATTTTGGTGAGAACAATTAAAATGTGTCAACAAGTTTCATTTATTTAATGTAGTATTATTAAATACAGTCATCATGTAGTACATTAGCTCTCCAGAATCTATTCATCCAGCATCATTGAAACTTTGTACCCTTTAACCAGCATTTCCTCTAACATATTTCTAAAAGGTTACTCTGGTCACTATGTTAAAAATAGAAAACTATGTCCCAACTACTCATAGAGTAGGCTGAGGAGGAACACAAATTTAACACCAACCTAGACAACTTAGTGAGACCCTGTTTCAAAATAAAAAGGGCTAGGGGCTGGGGTTGTGGTTCAGCGGTAGAGTGCTCGCCTAGCATGTGTGAGGCCCTGGGTTTAATTCCTCAGCACCACATATAAATAAATTAAAGAAAGATATTGGGTCCACCTACAACTAATAAATAAATAAATAGGACTAGGAATGTAGCTTAGCAGTAGAGTGCTCTAGGTTCCATCCCTAGTACCAAAAAAAAAAAAAAGACTATGGCATGGGCATAGGCAGAAGCAGAGAAATTATTTGGAAGGCTATTAATAATAAACTGGTACGAGTTAAAAGAAGGAATCAAGAATGGTGGGATTCATCATATTCATATATGCAAATAATATAATTTCTCCAGTCCCTACCTTTACCTCTCCTGCTTCCTTTCCTATTATATGGTAGTTTTTATATTTTTTTTATATATAAAATGTATTTTATATATTTTGGTGCCAGGTACAGTAGCACAAGCCTGTAATCCTAGCAGCTCAAGAGGCTGAGACAGGAGGGTTGTAAGTTCGAAGCCAGCCTCAGCAAGGCCTTAAGCAACTCAGTAAGACCTTTCTCCACATGAAATATTAAAAAGGGCTGGGATAATGACTCAGTCACTACACACCCCTGGGTTTAATCCCTGGTACCAAAGGAAAAAAAATGAATGACTTAACAACTTTTGACCTGAGCAATTGGGAAGGATTAAATTTGCCATTTACTAATACTGGGGAAACTACAAGGGGAACAGGATTGGGAAGGAAAGATTAGGAGTTTGATTGAGGACATCTTAAATTTAAGATGGAGGTGTTAAGCWTGCAGTTAATTTTGGGAGTCTAAGTTCAACTGTAGGGAAATAACTAAGGTTGCAAGTAGTAACCCATGTCCCTGAATAATATGAATGACTTAATGAGGTAAGATATAAATGCCTGCCTGTTGTTCTAAATACTTTACCAGCAATTTAGAAGTAAAATTTGTTAGACAATGGATGTAGTTCAATAGAGTACCTAACAGTCACAAGGCCTTGGGTTTAGTCCTGTGCACTGCAATAAAAGAAAGAAAATTTACTTTATCTTAAGTTGTCTCAAATGATTAAAAATAAAAAAATAAATAAAAAACAGAATGGTTCTTGAGATAATACCTTGCACCCTATCAGATCACAATGGAATGAAATTAGAAGTCAATGATAAAATAAAAAATAGGAGCCACTGTAACACCTGGAAACTAAATAACATGCTATTGAATGATGAATGGATAGTAGAAGAAATCAGGGATGAAATTAAAAAAAATACTTAGAGTGTGGGAATGCTGATAGTTTCTGTCTCACAGCAGGAGATGGCCTGCCCTAGGAACTTCCTGTGCAAAGGTGCAGGTCAAGACTGCCCAGTTGCTATGGTAACTCCTTGCTTAAAGGAGGTTCTTTGTAAGACACAGGATTGTCAGTCTTCACTCTGAGTTCAGACACCAGCTGCTAGACCTAGAGAATTATGAGCACCCGTAGATAATTGTRATTGTCTTCATCCTTCAACCTGCCTGCTTTGAAGAAACTTTCTCACAGAAAACCCTTTTGATGATAAAACTTATATATTAAACATGCTGAACTAACTCTAGGTCATTGCTCCTCCATCAGAGGTTGATGTCCCACTTGGTCCCAGCTTTCTCTCTTTAAAAAAAAAAAAATGTTCTACACAAAAAGAAAGTATGGGGGCTGGGGATATACTACTCAGTTGGTGGAGTGCTTGCCTTGCATGCACAAGGCCCTGGGTTCAATTCCCAGCACCACAAAAGAAAGTAAGTATGAGAGATAATGGGCTTATTAGCTAAACTGATTTAGTTATTTTGCATTATAAGCATATGAAAACATCATACTGTATCCCATAAATATATACAATTATTATTTGCCAATTAAAAGAAAGGAAGAGTCTGTTGCCAGATATTAGTAGTTAATATTTATTGTACTTAATTTAAGCAGTATACATGTATTACCTCATACAATCTCTATAGCAACCTTTATGCAATGGTGCTATTATTGTTACTGTTTTACAGAAGAGGAAATTATAGGCCAGAGTTGTTAAGTAACCTGCATAAGGTCACATTGTTAATTTTATCATGTAGAAACAGGATTTGATGACATAGGTACAGTAGGAATAAAGATGGCAGCAAAAGGTTCCTTGTTTATTAGAATCTTTCAAAATATAAGGAAAAATTTATGCATAATTCTTTTTTCCTGACAATGAAATTTTCAAACATCCAAAAAAATTGAAAGCACTGTGTGATGAACGCTCATATCCACCCACCTAGATTTTATATTGGATATTTTTAATAATTACCATCTCTAAATTTGCTTTGTCACATATATACTCATGTTTCTGTCCATTTATCAGTCCAATGTACTACTGTACATGAAGACAATGTACATGAAGACAACAGTGCTATATACTTCAGTATACAGAATTCACATTCAAAAAGTTCTTATACAGCTCAGTGTGATGGCACAATCCTGCAATCCCAGCTACTCAGAAGGCTGAGGCAGAAGGATTGTAAGTTCAGGACCAGTTTGAGCAATTTAATCAAAACTCTGTCTCAAAGACATGGGCACACCTTAGTAATAGAGCACCCCTAGGTCTGATCCCCTACACCTCAAAACCAAACAAAAATTAAACTAATACTGTTTATTAGATTTAAATTAATTGCAGGTAAGGTTAAAAAGGCTGARTGAATGTGACTACAAAGAAGTACATGGAATTTTCTCTAAAGTTAAAGAATATTCTTGTATTTAAAATATTAATGAATAATACAGTAATGAAGTGATTTTCAACTGTGTCCACACAGAGGATGGGGAGGCACGTGAGAGAGATGAAATCCGTCACGATAGACGAAAAGAAAGACAGCATGACCGGAATCTTTCTAGGGCAGCTCCTGATAAGAGGTATGTGTTATTTGATGTACATACAAATTATTAAGAGGTCCTTTTTATATTAACTTTTGGAACAGAGTTTTACTCCATTGGTAGCAGTTTTGCTTTTTCTCCCTTTTATTTTCAGTTTGATAATAAATTGGCACCTAATTTTCTTATGCTTAATGGTTTTGTCTTAGCAGAATTGACTATCCCTAGAATTAGTCCTTTCTTCCATCACTTTATAAGGTCAATTAGAATTAAGAATGGGAGCTGTGTGCAGTGTCGCATGCCTGTGATCCCAGCAACTCTGGAGGCTGAGGCAGGAAGATTTCGAGTTGTGAGCCTGCCACAGCAAAAAAACAAGATGCTAAGCAACTCAGGAGACCCTGACTCTTGGTCAAGTGCCCCTGATGCAATACCCAGTACCCCGCCCTCCCCCCAAAAAAGACTGGAGTGTATGGAATGTGGATAAAGGAATTTAGATCAAGATTGTGAAAAGGAAGTAGTGAATGAGACTGCTCTGATCTGTTATTTTTCTATTTCAAATGGTGAGACAAATTATTTGCCTATGTTTTTAGACAGGAAATAAACTACCATACCTTTACTGACATCCTTTCATAATGCAGAGTGCTGTATCCAATACAGGGTATGGGGGGCTGTGGGGGTTAGTTTTGAAAGAAGTAAAAATTTGAGCAGCTTATTTGGGAAAATTTTAAAAGCATTCTTAAGTTACAAAATGTATAAAACAAATAAGTACATATGTGGGGACATAAAGTAGAAATTGTAGTTCACAGATACTGAGGAGCACAATTGCTAAAAAGTCAAGGAAAGCTACAATACAAAAGTGAAATTCTGAGTGTTGTTCAAATGTAAATGTAAAACATTTTCCTCTCAACCAACTTCCATACTCTATACTCTGATCATCCTAGGAGCTGATGCAATCCGTTTTTTAAGTCATATCTTAAATCACATCTGTTGGTGTTGGTTATTGTTTTTTTTTTTTTTTAAGAGAGAGAGAGAGAGAGAGAATTTTTTAATATTTATTTTTCAGTTTTCGGCAGACACAACATCTTTGTTGGTATGTGGTGCTGAGGATCGAACCCAGGCCGCACGCATGCCAGGCGAGCGCGCTACCACTTGAGCCACATCCCCAGCCCTGGTGTTGGTTATTGTTGAAGTGGCATATTTCATCTCCCTTGATAAGTGTAGTCATGGAAAAGCAAAGAATCTGAATTCAGTGTTGTGGGTAAATCTACAAATTAGAAGAAAGAGGAATTAAATGTGAAAATTTTCAATTAATGACACTCTTCGTTAGAACTTTCTAAGTTGTAAAGATTAAAATGGTTTTGTAGATAAATTGAGCCCTTAAAACCGGTAAAGTGACTGAAAATTGGTAACATAGAAAAGCCATAAATAAATTGGGTTGGGGATGTGGCTCAATCGGTAGCGAGCTCGCCTGGCATGCTCGGGGCGCTGGGTTCGATCCTCAGCACTACATTACAAAAAAAACAAGATGTTGTGTCCACCGCAAACTAAAAAAATTAATAAATATTAAAAAATGTTTTCTCTTTAAAAAACAAAAGGCCATAAATTTGTGATTGGATGAAAAGCACATTGTCTATGGAAATAATTAGACCTGAACATTTAGTAAAATTAGTGATGACAGTTACCATGGTTTCATTCCAATGTAGAGTGTGTACGTACTAAAATAAAATGGTAGAGGAATTAAATTAAGCCGAATATTAAAAATTCAGAGTGATCATTGACATGTTTTCCTCAAATTAGTAGGATAAAATTATAGAATGTGGTTAAGCAAAAGAAGTGATTGTAGTGTGTGGATGAGGATTCAAATGAGGCGTCACTTAGCATCCACTTCCCAAACCTTTGTCTAATGATAGCAAGTATAGACCAGAGCAGTTTCATAGTTTAGCATGGTTCTATGGTGATTGTTTGTCCATAACAAGAACCAATCTATTGGACGTTTTTTTGAGCTAACAGAAGAGTCCTAATTGTAGAACTCTACCTCCTCTAATTCTGCATCTGAAATGCTATACCAGCTGCCAACCTGATTACACATTATCAGGAAATTTATGTTCACAAGATATAAACATGACATATTCATTTCCTTTGCTTCTGAGATTGGTTGTATTTAAATTGAATATATTCAACTTGTCTGTAAAGAGTGTTCAGTTAATTATATTGTGTTTCAAATAGGTCAAAGCTGCAGAGAAATGAAAATCGAGATATCAGTGAAGTCATTGCTCTTGGTGTGCCCAATCCTCGGAATTCCAATGAAGTGCAGTATGACCAAAGGCTTTTCAACCAATCCAAGGTACAAGGAGTTTAGAAACAGCATGGTTTGTGTGTTGACATGAATACCTATCCTTAGGGAAAAGAAAATTTAACATGTCTTTGATTTGGATTGCCAAAATTTGGCCAATGTGGTGGCAAAAAATTGGATGTTGTTACTTAAGAGACAAGATGAAACATTTCTGATTGTGACCTCTTAAATTTGAATACAATTCAATAGAAAATGAAAATGAAAAAAATGAAAATGAAAGAAATAGGGTGATAAGAAATTAGGTGGTTCTGGTGTATGGATTTTTTTAAAATTATATATATAATTTTTAGTTGGACACAATACCTTTATATATTTTTATGTGGTACTGAGGATCAAACCCAGCACCTTGCACGTGCTAGGCAAGCGCCCTACTGCTGAGCCACTACCCCAGCCCTGTTGTATTTACCTTGTATTTGTAAACTAGAGCCAGTGTTCTATAAAACTACCTTAGTTCTTTTGATCTGTGGATTCTTTTTTTTTTTTTTTTTTTTTTTTAAGCTACAGAAACATTTCAACTAGAGAGCTTTTAAAAATGAACCTTGAAAACTGGACTAAAGTACCAGACTGATGGTCAGAAAATCTAATTTCTAGTTCTGGAGGTCATTAACCAATTAGGACACTATTTCTGTTCCTTTGTGGTACTGGACCTTATGTATGTTAAGCACACACTGTGACACTGAGCTACGAATCCAGACACACTCTATTTTAATTCACCTAATGTTGATTAGTAACTATGCATATGTTAAGTGAGATCAAAAATAGATGTGCCTTTCCCTTCAAGGACTCCATAGTCTAYGGGAGAAAGCAGCAGACAAGTGCCTACACACACACGTGGGTGTTTGTATATAATGACAAGCAATGCCTCAGCTTCCAGAGTAGTGGGGACTACAGGTGTGTGCTACCACACCTGGCTCACAGGGTTTTTTGTTGTTTTAAGCATTGAGATAATATAACTAAAAGACTTAGGAAAATGCCTGCAGTACGAAAAGCACTTGACAAATTATTACAATTATTTTAGAAGAACTTACTTAAATGTTTTCTGATCTACCTAAAACCTCCAAGTCATAATTAGCTTTGTCCTTCTACATCCCAGTTGAACTAACACTTCTATATTTGTAACCACACACTTGGTGGTGGTGCTTTCCAATAATCACCTACTCACGAGGCTGAAGTAAGCGGATTGCAAGTTTGAGGATAGCCTGGGCAATTTAGGGAGATGCTACTTCAAATAAAAAGGGCTGGGAATGTAGCTCCGTGGTATAGCAATTACCTAGCGTATGTGTGAAGTCGAGGGTTCAATCCCCACTATCACCAAAAAAACAAAACCATGTGAAGTCATTTAGCTARTAAATGATGTGATTAAAATTGAAAATTGAATGTCTTGACCCCAAAGATTTGTTCTTAACCACTGTATACAATGACTGTTTATCAGCCTGAAAAGGGAGGTTGGTTTGAAGGTTTCACTTAAGTATTTTCAAGACTCACCTATTATAAGCTTAGGCTGAAAGCATTTAAAAATTGTTAGGAAAATATTTTTCTTGTTGATTTCAGATGTTCATTGAGGACCTTGTGTTATAAAAGTGAAATTCTCAGGTTAGGGATATAACATTCTTTACTCTAAATGGCATCAAAGACCTATTTTATCATTCTTTCATCTTCTTGCCACCATGTAGATACAAATTAAAGTTTTTGAGTACTTGCTTATAGAAAGAAACATCCCTTTTTTTTATATTTATTTTTTAGTTCTAGGTGGATACAATATCTTTATGTAGTGCTGAGGATCAAACCCAGTGCCTCATGGGTGCTAGGCGAGCACTCTACCACTTGAGCCACAACCCCAGCCCCAAGCATCCCAGTTTTAATGACTGCTTTGTTAGTTACAACTTGAATTCCTTTGTCTCCAGGGAAGGACCAAAACATCATATGAACAAGTTTATGTATTTGGGATTTTTTTTTAATGAAGACCTTTTTTTAATTTGAAGTTAAGATTTTTGAAATGAGAGCTATAAATGAGCATTTATTACTCATAAGTRTAATCAGATTGTTTTTAATAAAATATATTTTCATTCATTTTCCCACAGGGTATGGACAGTGGATTCGCAGGTGGAGAAGATGAAATTTACAATGTGTATGATCAAGCCTGGAGAGGTGGTAAAGATATGGCCCAGAGTATTTATAGACCCAGTAAAAATCTGGACAAAGACATGTATGGTGATGACCTAGAAGCCAGGATAAAGACCAACAGGTACCAAGGCAGACAATTCAATTTTCGTGTTTACACCCATGAAATAAGTGGAGGTTCATAGTCCCTTCTGTTTTTCCCTAGATTTGTTCCCGACAAGGAGTTTTCTGGTTCAGACCGTAGACAGAGAGGCCGAGAAGGACCAGTTCAGTTTGAAGAAGATCCTTTTGGTTTGGACAAGTTTTTGGAAGAAGCCAAACAGCATGGTGGCTCTAAAAGACCCTCAGATAGCAGCCGCCCCAAGGAACATGAACATGAAGGCAAGAAGAGGAGGAAGGAGTAGACATACCTCTCTTCAAAGTGAATGAACTATTACACATAACCCTAATGATGCAAGTCATGGGGGAACACTTTGTAAATGGTCGGGATAAAAACCAAACCTGGGTATCAGATCCCAGTGCTACTTTTTACTTCGGGCGATGAGGGGACTAAAAATTCTACTTTGAATTATTTAGCTTTTTTAAAACAGTGGGTTGTGTTTGTGCTTCTCCCTCCTTTTAGCACCTGCAGAACGTACAGCCCACACAGAATTAAGACCATTTTGTGTGACACTAGTAGTGGGGGGTAATGTTTTACATAAGAACTACTTATGAATAAGGTTACCCCAACCATGATGAGGAGGATGTTCACATATTAGGACTATGCCACCAAATGAATTTTGCCCCTATTGTGCTATTTTACTTTGGAGTGGGGAAAATAAGGTCTTGCTTAGTACAACTATTTGTTAGAAATAAAAACATTTAGACAAAATTCTCAGTTAAATTTATTTAATTGGAAATAATCAGAAATCTTTTTCTTCATCAGATGTTTGGTCACCTTGCAACATTTTTCGTCTTTGAGCTTGAATGTAGACCTAAAAAATCAAATTAGCACTGTAAGAAAAGGCAATATGTGCAAAAAAATTAAAACTTTAGCAAGTTCCATTTTATAAGAATGCCTTACTAAGGACTGAGCACCAGTGACTCAAGCAGTTATTTGTACCTTGTTGTTGGGAGACTACCTGAACTTTAAAATGGTAAATAAATTTGACTCGATATCTTATAATAAGTAGAGGAGTCAGGATTTCAGCCCTAGTTTTGCTCAATTTGAATGTGCACTCATGTTTCCACTGCTGGTATTATTTATACCTTGCTAACCATTAAAGATCTTCTCACTGAGAGTATACCTCAGTGGTAGAGCACATGCTTAGCATGTGTTAGGCTCTGGATTCAATCCCTAGCACTAAAAATTAAAGGGTCCTCCTATTTCTCCACACTTTTTAGAAACGAACACTCTACCACTACCACTCTTAACAAGTATAGAGAAGGTTTTCAGACCTAAATTTCCCAAAATTCCTGTCATTCCACACTTCTGGCTTATTAAGTAATACATGGAAAGCTCATAATAAATAAGCATTTACCTTTACTCCATCAATAATATGATTTTCCTGTTGTATTGCATTCTGAAGTTCTTCTTCTGATGAAAAATGAATCCAACCCATACCTCTGTGAAAGCCAGTCTCTTTGTCCTGAAAAATTTTAATAACAAAGGTAAAGATTAATCATTAACTTAAAATTTCCATTTGTCAAAGCCAGATTACAGACAAATGTCAACTTGCTTTACTATATATTACCTTCCTGAAGAATATATACCAGTGTCAAAATTCTGCTTTTTTAACTGTCACTGGAGAAATAAGGATAATGAGGTTTATGCATTATTCTAGAAGCAGACCACAGTAACAGCCAAGGGAAACTGATTAYTACAGTACTCAGACTAACCCCCTCTTTCCTAGGGACTAGAAATAAGCCCCAAAACCTAGCTGCATCTGACATTTCTGAAACAAATCAACCTCATTCACCACTACTACACTTTCATCACATGTTCCTAACAAAAGACAGGAAAGTAAAATATTACCTTTACATAGCTAGACTAAGTATGAATGATGTGGAAAATAGTCTTGTGCTTGGAGGCACACTGCTGTGTCCCTTTAGCCATCCATTAAAGGACAGGCTGGGGAAGATGATCATTAGGTTCTCAATCTTGCTAAAAGTTATGTTGTGTTTTGTGGAAGACCAACCTTGCACGTGACTGGGTCACACTCCCAGGCTGGGTGCTGAGACACTCAGTCACAGAAATGTGGCAGAGCTTTCCCCACCCTTCTTGGGTTCAAGGGTCAGTGTCTCCTGCATGGGTGTCTTGCTACAGCCCCATGGGTGAAGCTATGCTCACCTGTTCCTTTGTAATATAACCCCTTGCCCTATTTAGGATAGAATCTTCCATGGAAGTGCCTTGTGTGTGTCCCCTTCTCTTACTGTGCCCTTGGGTGTGGCCTACCCAGGTGTCAGTCAACCTGCTGACAGTGGACATCATGAAAATAGACTCAGCCCCCTGAAACCTGACACCTTGCCTCATTTGAATAGCTTTTCCTCAATAAAAGGGGTGAGCTCCTGCTGCTCGCTCTCTTCCTGTGGACACTTAAGGTCAGAGGAGTCATCACAGCGACCCCAAAGAAAAAGGTATTTGTGTCTCTTATGTGGTTATTTCRTGCAGCCCAATTAGCCCAGTTTAACTGGAGTGACTTCCTGAGCCTTTTAGACGCAAGTACAGAAACCCAGCAGTGTTTTACCAAAAAAGGCAAAAGACTTAGATATTGTTCCTGTTCTTCAGAGTATTAACCAAGAATGCAGGAAAAGTTTCTGGTGATTTCCCAGTCATCTCATCATTTACTTTCCTACCTGTGATAGATGCCTCCATTGGATTGACCCATTTCCACAAGTAAAGGCATTTAAAGAAAAAAAAAAGTGAGTGTTTTAAATTTTAGATAATATATTCCTAAAAAAGAAACCAGGATTTCCAACTTGCATACAATAAATTTAACTTGAATTAATTTTTTCCTGTTATATTTTGTTTAGTGTTTTACCAAGAATCAAAGCCTTTTTATAAGATCTGTTCATCCTGGGTCCTAAATTCATTTTTAGTGGCAACCAAGAAAAATCTATTCACTTTTATTAGAAGAAACGTTTGTAAATGACTTTTAAAAATTTAGTTTTTAAACATAGAAAGCTATACATTCATGTCTGTAATCCATGYTTCAACTATGAAATTCCATTATATCAATGACTTTATCTAGTCAGTCTCACTGATAAACATTTAAATTTTTTAGTTGATTATTGCTTTGAACGTTTTTGAACATATATTTTTATAGGATAAACTCCTACAAATAGAATTGTTAAAGCATATACAAACCCTCTTTTTTTTTTTTTTTGTAATACCTTTATTTATTTTTATGTGGTGCTAAGGATCCAACCCAGTGCCTCACGCATGCTAGGCAAGCCTTCTACCACTGAGCTACAACCTAAGCCCCCAAATTCTTAATTTTGGTATTTTGCCAAACTAGACTTCAGAACTGAAGGTAACAGTTAAATTTCTCAATGAAATTGAGTGCCAGTTTCCCTACACTTTAACTAACACTAGATATGAGAAAATCTGTCAAGATTTTTGGAAGCTAAATAACATTAAACCAAGAGTTAAGAATTTAAATTTATTTAGGATGATATTTTACCATGGCTGTTTCAGTGTCATGAAATGTTACTGTGTGTAAACTCAAATCACACACACACATACCCCACTGCAAAAACCCAGTAATTGTAGAAAATTACAGACTAGGATAAAGCAGAAAAAATTTACAGAATGATTTTTAGATCCTCATGAGAAAGCAAATGAAATGTAATTAACAAAAGTACTGTTTCATGGGTTAGAAATACTAAAACTAAATGGCATTCAATAAAATTTAAAATAGACACTACAAATTCTAAAATATTATCCTTTACTTCCTGAAGTCATTATAATGGTTTAGGGAGCAGATTTCTGAAGATGGAACCCATATCTCCATGCACCCTTTTCCCGTATAACCCCCCTTCTTGGAGTGTAGGCAGGATCTGTAACTTTTTTCTCAACAAAAGAATAAAGTAAGGATGATAGGCTGCCATGCCTTGTTCTGACAGTGAAGGCACTGTCACTCCGGTGATTAGGTTATATGTAAGATTTCTATATTAACAGATTGGAGAAACTCCCTTGCTGGCTTTGAAGAAGAAAGCTGCCATGCTGTAAAACAGACTACAAAGTAGGTGACCAGAAATTACAGACAGTCCTTAGGAAGTGAGAGCAGCTCCCAGCTAAAACCCAAGAAAACAGGGACCTTCATCCTATAGTTGAAAGATGAATTTTACCAAAAACTTCAGGGAGCTTGAAAGTCAGTCTTCCCCTGAGACTCTAATGGAGCACACTGAAGCCCCAGTGGATAGGATTGTCATGCACAATCCTGAGCAGAGGGAGGATCAGCTCCTCTGTGCCCAGTTGTCAGATCACCTGTTTTTTATAGACATTAAGTTTGTGGTAGTTTGTTATGCAACAATAAAAAACTACTACAAATACCTAAAGTTTTGTTGTTTTAATCAATAATACCCATAACTTTATCAGTAAAGACTAAACAGCTTCCTTTTTTTTTTTTTTTTGGTACTAGGGATTTCTACCACTGAACTATAACCCCAGCCCTTTTATTTTGACAAGGCCTTGCTAAATTGCAGTCCCCCTGTCTCACCATCCCAAGTCATTAAGATGACAGGTGTGTGTGTGCCACTGCACCTGGATTCATTATTAATATATGCTTTCATTTTTAAAAAAGCAAGAATTAGGATAATACTAGGACTGCACACATGCTAGGCAAGCCTCTACTTCTGAGCTACACCCTCCAGACCCCAACAGTTAAGATAATACTCACAAAAGGTACAGTGCACTTTCGTATATGACCAAACTGAGAAAAGTGTTCTCTCAGCTCACCTGTACAAGAGGAGAAAATATATTAAAAATATTTAATACATTTCTTAGCCTTAAGATTTCAACAAGCAGCTACAGGACTAACCAAATTGCCATAATGTACCAGATTTGAAGGTGGGTTGGGGACATGCTGGGCTGGCTATAGTCTCCATATGCAGCAAATACTAAGTATTTTCATCATACCAGATACCATACTAGGTATGTGAATTATAATCCCTGTGAGTAGATCACACAGAAGATGAAAATCAATTACAATCCAGAGTGTTGCCAGMTATATTAGAGGTCTCCAAACAAAATCCCAATTTATTGGTCTTTCATAACTTAAAGTTTATACTAGGCTAAATAATTGGTGCTTGAAAATATGTTTTGTTGACCTCATCGACCTTTCCTGCCTTATTTCCCACTGTTGGCCCACAGTTCTCTCTCTAGCACAGCAAACGGAATTCTCTATATCCTAACCTGTGGATTCCCATTTTTGCACATGTTGTTCTCTTCCCTTGATATGTCTCTAATCCTGTCTCCTTCCTAAGTTATAACTATCCTTCCAAACTCAAGYCAAATACATCTACTGAGTATTATTTTATGGGGCTCCTACTGCCACACAGGAAAAGTACTAGCCCTGGGGAACCTCAAAAATTTATAGCATGTAACTGTATTAATTTGTTGCAGTGCTAGGGATTGAACCCAAGGCAAGCACTCTACCAGTAAGCCACAACCCCAGCCCTAAAATGTACTACCTTAAAGATGGAAAACTACATGACCACTTTTTCTTCTGAACTACAGTAGTTGTATTTTGCTGGTTTGAATTTTATATTATCTACTTATATATCTTTTAGTTCATCTAAATTTGATTGGTTCAACTCCCTATATTTATGTTTGTAAGTCTTCTCAGCCCTACCACTACTCGTATACAAGAGTAGAAACCACTAGTTTGCAGTGTAAGATACATAGTAGGGCTTCAATAAGTAAACAAATAATCCTTCAACAATTCACAAAAGCTAAATTCCTATAGGTCCCTAATAGTTGGTCAACCCAGCAGGAAAGATCAGATCACAGAACATGATGCTAACAAAGCAAAACCGTGTTAAACATGTATGTTTTACACCATCTATTATAAGTTCTAGAAAACACTTCCAAAATATTATGGTTTGGGTCATAAATGTCCCCAAAGCCCTCATGTTGAAGGCCTGGTTCCCAGTCTGTGGGATACTGGGAGATGGGGGAACTTTCAGAAGGTGGAGCCTCATGTACAAAAGTTAGATCACTGGGGGTGTGCCCTTAAAGGGATCCTCTCTCTGCATCCCATTGGCCATGAGGTGAACAGCCCTCCTCTGCCACACACCACCCACATGCATGATATACTATGCTGCAACAGGCCCAAAAAACAGGGTAAGCAACCTCGGACTGAAACCTAAAAAGAGGTAAAAATAAACCCTCCCTCCTTCGAGTTGTTTATTTCAGGAATTTCTTCACAGCAACTTAAAAAAAAAAAAAAAAAAACAACTCTGGATGGAAACCTTTTTACCTAATCACTTATAATTATTCAGGGAAAACAGCTATAAGTATCAAAAACAATGCCTTTAACCTAACAGATAAATGTTAAATATTGGCTGAGTTAGCAAGTGAACTGAGAAAAAGTATTTCAAAGTTGTGATTATGGAGCTTTAAAAGTTCTAGCCAGGCGAAGTGCAGTAGTGCTCGACAGTAATCCCAGCAGTAATCCCAGCGGCTCAGGAAGCTGAGGCAGGAGGATCAAGAGTTCAAAGCTAGCCTCAGCAATTTAATAGGCCCTAAGCRATCAGTGAGACCCAGTCTCTAAATAAAATATGAAAAAAAAAGCTAGGGATGTGTCTCAGTGGTTAAGTGCCCTTGTATTCAATCCTCAATACCTACCCCACAAAAAGTTTTAGACTAGCCATTTTGGTATAGAAACTTGCAACTACTAGATGCTGGTGAAAACCTTCAGCCTTTTTCAGAAAGCATAAAAGAAACTTTATTTGGTTTGGTCTTTACCATGCACATACTGAAAGACGGGGCACAAACCAAACTCTCCTCTGAGCCACCAAAACTAAGAAAAATAGCCAGGTCCAATGGTGCATATCTGTAATCCCAGATACTCAGGAGGCTGAGGTAGGAAGTTATTAAGTTCCAGGCCAGCCTGGCAATTAAGGGAGACCCTGTCTCAAAATAAAAAGGGGTTGAGGGGTTGCTGAGTGGTAGTACCCCTGGATTCAATCCCCAGTGGGGGATGGGGAGGACACTTAAGAAAATTAACCCTGTTCCATCCTTTTATTTAAGGAGACTGGTCTATACATGAGAACATCTATCAAAGTTGATAGTGAATTTTTAAGTTTTAGTAAACATAAAAACCTTAATACTGCAACTGACAAGAGTTCAGAATTTCTCCAACCCTTTATCTCCAGAATAGGCCTCTCTCATGAGCTTCAAATTTAGTAATCATGAAAATATCATTTGTTGAGTACTTTAACAAATCTAAGAAATGTATATATATAAGCTCATTTAATTCTCTTCACAATGCTACCAGGTATTATTGATGCCATTTTTTAGATGATTAAACTAAATTAAAGAGCTGTGAGCCTCTTTCCCATAATTATCTTCAGTTATTCAGGTTTTCTTAACTACTAAATGGCTGAGTTGCAAGTCTGGCTTCAGAGTCCGCTTCTCAATCATAATRTACAACCTCTGTCCAGTACCCTGAAAGCGACCCCACAAGCTTCTAAAAATCTCAACTTTCCAACTTTACTCTCCATCTCCTCTCAGCCTCCTCCTCCTAAAATCCAACTACATAACTGCTCTTTCCCTCATTACATAACACCACCACCCGGCTCGCAAGACATCACGAAATTCCACTGATTTTGTTTTCTGAAGACCTAAGTAGATCTGATCCCTTCCCTTTTACCTCTTTCCTCGCTCAGGTTTTCATTTCTGAATTAAATGTAACTGCCTGTTATCTCGTAGCCTGAATTAAATGTAACTGCCTGTTATCTTGCTAGTCAAAACAGTCCCTTCTAAATCATAAATTTCAAAAAGTGACCAAGTAATAAACGTTTCCACCAAATCACTCCAAATTACAGGAGATCATAAATTCGTGCCCTAAAATTTCAGGGGGCATTCCCTAACCTTTTAATTGTGAAGAACACTTCTGTGCACTGGTTTGCCTGGAAGCAAACTTGGCCTTCTAATGCTACCACCACGCTGACTTCAGTGCTCTGCACAATGCAGAGGTTTTGGGGATCGCTTGGACCTTAAAATTCAGCCTCATCCACATCTCCATCACTCACTCGACGCCGCGGTCCAAGGAATTTTTCTGACAAAAGCAACCGTACGACCAACACTCGAACGCAGGGCCACTGCACCTCTCGCCGCCGAGGCTGCCATCTTCAGACTGAAGAACCTTCGTGAGCTGGTGTCGTGACCCCGGAAGAACCTGTCGGAGCCCAAGCAGGAGGATATGCTTCCGGGTCAGAGCGGTCAGGGAGCGAGATGGGGAAGATGGCGGCTGTCGTGGGTTCTGTGGCATCGCTGGTGACAGAACCTGGGGAGGACGCTTTTCGAAAACTTTTCCGCTTCTACCGACAAAGCCGACCCGGGACCACAGACCTGGGAGGGGTCATCGACTTCTCGGCGGCCCACGCGGCCCGCGGCACGGGTCCTTCTGCCCATAAGGTACGTAAGGAGAGAAGTGCGGTTCGAGTCCCGGCATCACCGCGCGCTGCTTCTTGAAGGGGCTTCTTCGCCCCTTTCCGCCTGCAGACCGATGGTCCTTGGGCTCGGAGTTGAACTGCCCACCARCAGTCACGCTTGGCGACAAAACGTTATTCTGCGAGTTTAGTCAYGCTTTGCTTCTCTGCCTCGGTCCCAAAAAATTCTGAGAATTAGTGTTTACTTCTTCCTTTAACTGTCCCCTTATAGTTSTACTTTATTTTATGTAAAAATCCCGTAAAAGTCTTTGTAGACGTTAGGGTAGCGCTCTGCGACTTGAAAACCTACTACCTACCAATCCCAGATCTGACAAGGATCAGCCCGTGCGAGTTAAGCCTTTCCAGTCAGGCTTCTCTCTGGGCCTTTTAGAAAGAGGTGGTTGGAAGGATTCTAAAATAATCCCCCCAGAATTCAAAGTAAATGTCTGAAGAGTGCGTATGGAACCCTTCCTTATTTTTATTTTTACCACTGAAGATTAAGAAAGGAAATAGTGTGGAGAAGGTATTGCAGGGGAAATACAGCTGTGCTGCAGTTGAGTTTTCTTTACAATCACTTTAACCTTGAGAACCTCTAATCTCTTAATGGGCCATTGGTGTTATCCACAGTGTCCCGAAGAGGCATTCTTTACAAGCAGTAATAGTTCTCAATAAAACTAATGCTATCATAACCCCATACTTTGAGCTTAACTTCTCAGCAGCTTGATTTGTTAGCAAAATCAGTTATAGAGTTGTCTGAAYAACATAGAATGTCTGCACCCAGAGTGTAATGTACTTGATAAGAAGAAAGCTTCAGAACCCTATTCAGCTTCACTTTCCTTTATTTTACCTTTTCTTTTTTTTTTTTTTTTTTTGGTGTTTTTATCAATGAGTGTTTTATTAAATTCTCTATTTCGGACATGAAATGAAACCTTGGAGCACTGTTTGCAGTTATGCAGGCCCAGCAGCTGAGGCTTCTAGAACAGATTCATGGATATGCACAGGTTTTCTCAGCACGCTTCTGCTCAGCATCATCCAGCACCCCCCAGACAGAAGTCAGGGCCTCTGGGCCAGTCCACTCTGAAATGTGGCCCAAGTGTCTGTAACAGGTTATCTGCCGCCATCAAAGCCTGAAAATCTACCTGCTGTGAAGTCACCTCTGTTACAACTGGGTTCTTTCCTATCATACTTTATTAGGAAGCTAAAAAAATTATTGTACAGGACACCTCAGTGTCAGGGAAGGGGGTCACAAGGAAAGCTGTCGGGAGTGATGACTAGGACTGGCCACTCCTCTGTGATGCCTGGAGAGAAGGGTGCAGTGGAGGTAGGAACTAGACTCACAGGTGGAACCGAGCGCCTTCTGACCCACTATTCAATCCCTTCTTGCTAGTCTTTAATGGCCACCCTGAACCACTCTTCCAGCAAGGAGAGCTCACTGATGAGGTCTGTGATGGTGTTGGTAAAGGCCTCCTACAGGCTATAGGCCCGGCTGGTCTGCACACGGATGATGATCTTGTGCTCCAAGAGGTAGGGGACTTTGTAGCCGGCAAACAGCACTTGTGGATCCTTCAGCAGCTGTGATTTTTTTCCTAGTGTGTGGTCTTCTTTGTTGATGGTGAACAAACAGGCATTGGGCACCTTAGTGTCCTTGTTAATGGTGAAGAGCAAGGATGACTCAAAGGCTGGAGGGGCATTCATCCTAGCACCGCAGCTGGACCCAGACTTGAAATGGAATGGCTCTGTAGTTTATCTTAATGTATAAATACTTTTTAGACTATAAGCCATGATTACCCCAGACATTGTGTGTCTAGCACAATACCCAAAATAACACTCAAAAAAATACAGTGTGAGCTGGGTGCAGTGGTGCACGCCTATAATCCCAGCGGCTCAGGAGGCTGAGGCAGGAGGATTGCAAGTTCAAAGCCAGCCTCAGCAACTTAGCAAGCTGCTAAGCAACTCAGTGAGACCCTCTGTCTAAATAAAATACAAAATAGGGTTGGGGATGTGGCTCAATGGTCAAGTGCCCCTGAGTTCAATCCTCAATACCCAAAAAAAAAAAAAATACAGTGTGTATTAAGTACATGAAAGCTTAGATGTTTAGTTCCTTGGGCTAAAGCAGATTTAAAATACATATTAAGAAATTGCTATCATAAAACTGGTAAGATCAGTGGAGAAAATGATGGCTAACAGTCTGGCAAGAGAAGAAGCAAGAGAAACTTTTTTGGTGGGAGAAGCAAGTAATACTGGGAATTGAATCCAGGGCCTTGTGTGTGCAAGGCAAGCATTCTACAATTGAGCTATATCCCCAATCCTCAGAAAAACTTATTTTAAAAGCTCATTGGGGGGCTGGGGTTGTGGCTCAGTGGTGGAGCGCTCACCTTGCATGTGCAGGACCCTGGATTCAATCCTCAGTACCACATAAGAATAAATAAGTGAAATAAAAGTATTATTTTTAACTACAACTAAAAATTATTTATATTTTTTTAAAAAGCTCAGTGGTTTGGTTTCATTCAGTTTGGCATATGGTTGAGTAAGTACACAAATTTCAACTCTGAAGATGTTGCTGAATTACAGTGCAGTGCAAAGTGTGGCCTTTTTAAGAAATCATGACAGTGTTTATCGGTTGGAAAACTCAGCTGATTAGGACTCTTAGAGAGTTCCAGATAATCATTTTATTATAAAAACTGGTTATACACCAGTCACTTGTTGCTATTTTGTCTAGAAATCTCCATACTTCAAAAGTTGGTAGGATAAAGATCACTTACCTTTGAAAGAGGACTTTTGATGTCATCTAAGGTAAGCCAGATCCTAAGTTTATTATTCATGGAAAAATTCTTCTCTTTAATGTCCTTGACTGAGTGACTGTGTATAATGAGCCATTCTTAAGGTGCTCTATGTGCAAAGAAACTTTCATTAACTCCTAATATTTTTATGTAATTAACAACAACAAAAGTTCTAGCATTATCATTTCATCTAGAAGAGAAAAAATGTTCTACTTTTAGTAAATAGGGTTCCCAGTGTTTTATTAAAATGGAGAACACCTTTTTGATTCTCTTACCCTCCCTGCCCTGCTCTTTCTCATAGCTCTGTTTAAACAACAATCATATGCCAGTGCCTCAGAAGAAGTATTATTAGGACTAACCAGAGTAAATACCATTGTGATTTGGGATATTCCAGTACACCACACACTTTCTTTGTAAGTTCTTTTAAGAAGCAACCAAAGGTCAGGTGCAGTAGTGCACGCCTRTATTCCCAGTGGCTTGGGAAGCTAAGGCAAAAGGAATTGCAAGTTCAAAGCCAGCCTCAGCAACTTAGCAAGGCCCTAAGCAACTTATTGAGACCCAGTCTCAAAATAAAAATTAACAGGGCTGTTATTTGATTCAGTGGTTGAGCGCCCCTAGGTTCAATTTCTGGTACCAAAAAAAAGAGCAACTGAAGTATGGTCTCATAGGAAAAGGTAGTCTTGAATGCCAAATCCAGTCCACTTTAATTTTTCAATTGCCACTTAGCTAAATTTTATATAAATCTTTAATGTTTGTTAGCATATAGATGAGGAAACTATGGCTTTAGGAAGTAAGTAATTCATCTTAAAGTCCTAGAACAAGTATCTGGTGGAGCTAAGATTAGAATCCCAGAAGTAAGACTCTTAATTTTGCCCCGTACCAGAAATTTCTGGAAGTTTGAGGTTCCTGGTGTTGACCTACAAAGTAGCTTTAGCCCTCTGGCTTCTGTTTCCTTCCTGCCAGGTCGTCAGATCTCAGTTAAGTGTGTCCTCAGTGAGTGAGCACGATGCACATAGAGCAGGACTTCAGCCAGTCAGCAAGTGGCGAGCCTATGGACTTGAAGGCTATCCCGGTGAGTGCACCTGACCTCATAGGGATTTCTCTAATTTCATAGGAGTTATGAGCATGTAAGTAGAAAAAGGAGAAAACAGAGACATTCTACTCCTGAACACATCCTAAATTGTTCTATCTAAGTTACCCATTTATTTAGTATTCCCAAAAGATAGAAGAGTAAGTAGCACCTGCCTTATATTGCAGAAAGTKGCCAACAACAAATAAAAAATAAAGATATTGACTCTGGGCTCTCTGTTACAACTGTAAACTTCTGCCAAAATAATTGCTTTAAATAGTAGAATAATTCATAATGTCATTCCAGTCACATTCTCTAATGACATAACAACTTAAGACTTGTTGTTATCAAGGCTATTTAAAAAAGAATCACAAGTAATGATCAAAAGTTCTAATAGACTACTTTAGAATTTTTAATTTAGTGATGTTGAGTAGTTTACTTTAGAGAAAATAAGGTAAGAGTAATATTAATTAACTTTTTGACTCGTGGAGCTGTTGTAAACTAATTACTATAAACCATTTAGAAGATATAGAAATTCCTTATTTGGACCAAATAATCTTATATCTGCCATCCTAGATTTGGATTGTTTGTTTGTTTTTTGTTGAAAGGGGTCTCAGTGTTTTGCCCAGGCTAGTCTCAAACCTGTGAGATCAGCCCCCCCCCACCTCAGCCCCCTGAGTAGCTCAGACTAAGGGCATGCATTACCACACCTAGCTCTGTTTTTTTCTAAAAGACAACAAGTTTATGTTACACTTATGGTTTCCAATTTAGATCAAAAGTGAGAGAATCTTCAAAAAKAAATATTTGTTTTCATTGTACTGAGAGGTGGAACTTGGTTAGAGCTCTTGCTACATTGTGACTACTAAAATATTTGTTGTTATGATGGGAAAGTGTAACAGCTATATTGCTTCCTATAAAAGGCCTTGTGCTGTAAATTCTGTAGGAATTCATGATGGAAACAGATGAGTGATGATGTTCAAATATGAAAGCATCATTCTCTGTGAATTTGGGTAATTTGGAATAAGTACATAAAGTTATGTGCACTTATTCCTTGGAGGCTGCTCTTGATCTTTCAACTCTAGTGCCATGATTTTCTGTCACACTAAGCCTTCCTTTCTTAACAGGTTGTACTACAAAGTTACCAATTTCACTTAGGTTTTGTATTACCCAAACTGATATACCCGCTTTTTTGAAGTTTTCTAGRTTTTCCTACTTAAGCCACATTATTTGGGTTAGTGCTTCATTATGTGAAGAATGTCTTCCATCTTCCATGCCATTGTAAGCTGAATTAAATAGAAGTATAATGTCCAGAGCCTCTTGTTCTTAGTAAGAAAGAATATATCTACTTCTGAATCCCACTTACCTTAAAGGAACCTGAGTATCCCTCTCCCAGCATACACCCAAAGGACTTAAAATCAGCATACTATAGTGACCCAGCCACATCAATGTTTATAGCAGCTCAATTCATAGTAACTAAGCTATGGAATCTACAGTAGGTTGGTTTTCTTTAATAGATAAACGGTTAAAGAAACTGTGGTACATATACACAATGGAATATTACTCAACCATAAAGAAGAGTGGAATTATGGCATTTGCCAGTAAATGATGGAACTGGAGATTATCATGCTAAGTAAAATAAGCCAATCCCMAAAACCAAAGGCCGAATGTTCTGATATGCAGATGCTGATTCACAATAGGGGAGCTGGGGGGAGTGGAAGTTCACCAGATAGGACAGGGGGGAATGGGGAAAGGAAGGGAGAATGGAAGTGGGAAAGACAATAGAATGAATTGAACGTAACTTTCCTATGTTCATATGTGAATACACAACCAGTGTAACTCCACATCATATAGAACCACAAGAATGAGAAATTACACTCCATGTATGTATGATAAGTCAAAATACATTCTACTGTCACATATAACTAAAAAGACCAAATTTTAAAAAATAAAGCAAGTACTAAAGAGAAGGTGAGGAATGATACCAGGAGGCTTAGTCCAACAGTACAGGGTTKAGTTTACCAACGTTACACTTAATTTGGGAATGTTTAGGACTGTATCTCAAAGGCTATTTGTAGTTTYTGTTTGTTTTCTCTATTTCACTTAATGTGCGAGGTCAAGGAATGATAGAATTTTTTGTGTTTGATTGAATTATRCCCTTCAGAATACTTTCAATAAAAGGACAACTGGAATCTTTTTTTGCAGGGGTGGGAGGAGCCTGAGGCCTGAGTATACCAAACCTGTTCTTACAGGTCTGGAAACCAGGGCCTTAGTCTAGGGAAGAGAGGACTTGAAGGGGGAATGTGACAGTATCAAACATTTGAAAAATGGTCAAATACAAGAAGGGATGGAAAGCATTAAAAATTGATGGTTAAGGGGCTGGGGTTGTAGCTCAGAGGTAGAGCTCTCACCTAGCATGTGTGAGGCACTGGGTTCGATCCCCAGCACCACATAAAAAATAAAACAAAGATATTGTGTCAGCTACCACTAAAAAATAAATATTAAAAAAAAAAAAAAAGATTGATGGTTAAGCCAAGCTACCTGGACTTTTCCTGGCTCTACCACATACTAACTGACCTAGGGAAATTTTCTTAATCTCTCCTGACCTCAGTTTTTTAATGTGTAAAAGATATAAAAATAGTGCTCACCTCACCCATCAGCAACTGTACAAGATAATCCAAAACAGATTAGAGTGGAGTAAAATAGAGAGGGTAGAAGGGAAATTGACATGCTTAGGACAGTGCCTAGAACATCATAAGTGGTCAGTCTTTAATATTTTGGGAGATGTTACCATCTTTATTTTGTGAAAAAATGATAATCAAAGATGATAGGTTGTAGAATTTTTTTGGTTTTTGTTTTTTATATCCCTTTTTCCCCCTAAAATGTTGGCTATCCTTTCACCCTCCCAAATTATTTGGAGACTATTTCTGCTAAATAAAATGTAAAATTAGGAACCTTAGTTGGGTTCTATGTCTTGGAGATGCATTAGAGGACATAGAAAGACTAAGATTTGCCAGGCATGGTGGTATACTCCTGTAATCCCAGCAACTCAAGAGAAGGCAGGAGGATCACAAGTTTGGGGCCAGCCTTGAAAACTTAGCAAGACCTATCTCAAAATAAAAAATAAAAAGGGCTGAAGATATAGCTCGGTGGTAGAGGCTTCTGGATTTAATCTCCAATATTGCAGCAGATCAGATTAGTGGTCAAACTAAGTGACCATTAAAATGAATTTCTATGACTAATCAACTATATTTATTGCCCAGCCTTTTGCAATGATTTTTTTCTCCTTGCTGCATTAATTTACAGTATGCCTAAATAATGAAATCCACCAATATCTGCCTAGGTAATGAAATCCACCAAAAAAAAAAAAAAAAACTTTCAATTTTTTCTTAGGTAAACTCTGCTGTATGAAATTTCCTTGGTACCGCCAATTTGCTACCTTTGGTCATTAGGCTAGTTTTTAGTATGAGCTATTGATAATATTAAATTATCATTATAAGTATTAAATTATTGATATGATTAGTCAACTGCAGTGACCAACCCATCAGTGATTATTACTAAGCTGTCCAAATTTTTTCCATATATACAAGAATCTAAACACAAAATTTTAAGTTTTTTTAATAAAATATAGTACAATAGAAGAATCTTCAGGTTATTTTCTATATATTTCTACTATATCAGTGCAGGTTCCTTTCTGTCAAACCTCATGTGGTTTAAAATCTAAAATTCTGATAGTGGACCACTGATTTTATTGTTCAAAGACYCAATTGATTAGAGCCTAGAATGTATAAGGTAAAGATCTTAGGTTTGTTTCCTGTCATCTCCGAAATGTGTACTATTGGCCCTGAGAGAGGGATTAATCAGTGAAGCCATGTTACCTTTCTGAACCTCTGTTCTCTCATCTGTAAAATTGAATTAATGAGTTTCTCATGAAGTTATTGAAGATTAATGACATAGCTTAAGGTTACTAGCACAATGTCTGACACTCGGTAGGCATCCAGTTTTTGGTAGCTACTGTAATTAGTAGCTAAACATATTTGTTGTTATTAAACTTCACCATTATCCTGTGTTTAAATTAAATGCCAAAAAGAAGAGAGGAAGCTTAGTTTACTAATACCATAGATGTTTTTGTTTTAGCCTCAGTCCTTGTCTTTATTATCTGCTTTTCAAAGTAATTCTCCTTGAGGACATTTCCATAGTGTGTTCATGATATAGACCAGGAGTTGGCGAGCTACAATCAGGGGCCAAACCCACCTCCCAACCTGGTTTTGTAAGTAGAATTTTATTGGAATATAGCCATGCTTATTTGTTTACTTACTATCCATGGCTATTTTCTGCAACAGTGGCAAAGTTGAATACTAAAGAAAATAAATGACCCTCAAAGCCTAAACTATTTAATGTCTAGTCCTTGATAAAAAGTTTCCAGCATTTTACCTAAGCTAGATCTGAAATCCAACCAGGCATTGAAGAGCCTCTAATTATTTTCAACATTTAATTTAGAAATTCTTGAGCTTTAGTCTCTTCATCTGTTTTTGGTATACTTTGCATGGTGGGCTTTACATTAATATATAATGATTGCTTTTTTGTTTAATTTAATTTTATTTAATTTTATTTTTTAAAACAATATCTTTATTTCACTTATTTATTCTTATGTGGTGCTGAGGATCAAACCCGGGGTCTCACACRTGCGAGGAGAGCGCTCTACCGCTGAGCCACAACCCCAGCCCCTTGTTTAATTTTATTGATTCCTTCTTGTTCCTCATGACTTTCCCCCCAGCTATTCTTTCTTTTGCGGAGATGGCCTTGCTATTTATCTGATTGGGAAAACCAAGTCTCAGGCAAGAACTTCTCAGCTTTTGGTGGCCCCCACACTTATAAGCAGATATTCTCATTCATTTCCTCTAAGATGAAAATTTCTTCAGTTCAGTGATAGTTCTCTCACCCTCTTACTTCTCCTTCTTGTATCTCTTTCAAGACCTTGCTCTGTTCATTTCCTCTCTTTTGTTTTCATCCAGTTCCTCGATAATGGCTCTTTTTTCACAGTCTGTAAGTATATTTAGGTCTTACCAATCCCTAAAACCCATAAACTTCCCTTTTAGTACTTTATTCATCTGTGACCCCCTACTCCTTGATTTCCTTTTATAGACAGGCTCCTAAAAGGAATTGCTTGTATAACCAACCATCTCTACTAACCTATCTCCAGGTACTTCCCTTTCTTCAAACAAAATTTTTCATCTGTAATTCTTGATTATTTATTTATTTGTGTGTGTGTGGTGCTGCTGCTGCTGCTGCTGGGGATCATGCTAGGCATGTGCTGGGCCATGATTCCAGCCTTCTTCATCTCTAATTCTTGAGAAAGTACCTTGTGCATAGTATGTATTTTATATTTGATGAATGAAAACGAATCTTTTCCATGCTCTACTATTGAGCTACAATCCCCAGCCCCATGACTTAGAATTCTGAAGGAGGAACATAATGAGTCTGGTTCTAGTGATTTGGAAAAACAACATTAGAACCAACTTCAGCCCTCCAGTCATCCATTACTGTCCCTGATGGGCACAGTTTAGCAGGGAGCAAACTGGCAAAGAGGAAATTGGTAGGTCCCAGCCCCCACATTATGAAGCCAAACTGAATATAGAGGAATGGATTTGAAGCTGAGATACAAAATAAATTAATAACCAGGGCTTCATTCATTATAGGCAGACTTTCAAATCCATATTTCAGTTAAATTCAGTATAAGAACTTCCTCTGTGCCAGCAGTAAATGATATAGGGAATTTGAGAAGTCTCAGATGATTCTGTAAATGATGATGCCTGGTGAAAATTAGAGGGTGGACTTTCAGTTCTAAAGTTTGCTTTGGGATAACAAAATGGACAAGTTAACTGTGTGAAATATTTGTTCCCTTTAAGAATAACCCAAAAAGCCAGAGAGACTTGTATAGAGATGGGTGTTTGATAATTATCAAAAATTAATTTTTCATTAACTTGAAGCATAATCAAAAGATATGGGGGAAAAGGACAGAATAGTAGATATAAGGATGTCAATAAAAAGAAATGATCGGAATAACTAATGTAGAATTTTCCCTTCTTTTTTTTTTTCTTATCTGTCTTTTTTATAGGATTTATTTTTATCTCAAACCCATTCCTCCCAGGGTACCAGTGGCACTGGGTTAAGCAGTGCCTAAAGTTATACTCCCAGAAACCTAATGTGTGTAACCTGGACAAACACATGACTAAAGAAGAGACCCAGGATCTGTGGGAACAGAGCAAAGAGTTCCTGAGGTAAGTCTCATCAGTCAGAATAAAGTGTTAATACTCAGCTCGGATCACAACAGATCTTTGAATAAACTGTTATATAACAATACAGTGAAAATGATTGTCCTGTTTTTCTTCCCTTGCTTCCATGCAAATACAACACAGTTGTTTTCCTTCCCTGACAACTTTTGGACACATGTTTTGACATTTATATTAAATTGAGATCATTTTACAGATTTACTTACCATAGCTTAGATACTGAATTCATCCATATTAATCATTAGATGATCCATTTTTATTCATCATAAATCCTTTTTTCCTACTTAAAATGAGTTCCTTTGAACAGTTGTGGTATGCTAGGATAAATATCATTGACAACTCTTTATCCCTACTTTCTTAGATGGAGTCAATGTGAATGCTGGTAGCTGTTTTATGAAAGGCCAGTTGTTCCTTATGGGAGAAGAACTAGTATTTGTACCTTCATTCTATTTCAGTAATCATTCATTCATTCATTCCAAAAATATTTATTGGAWGTCATTTGTGTACCAGGTATGATACTAGACATTGGATACACAAAACTTAATAGGATACTCTACCTGTACTCAAAGGTGAATAGTCTGTAGCAGGAATTCATTGTCTATAGGAATGTTTATAATAGGCTCAGAAACTGTTATAATGGAGGCCAGAGGAGGAAATAATTAATTCTTCTAGGCAGAGCAGAGGTATCAAAGAAGAACAAGTGATTTTTTTAATTGAGTCTATTAATCCTCTTCTTCTGTTCATTTGAACTGATCTTCAAAAATGATTAAGAGTTTGGTAGTCATAAAAGTAAAAGGGCTGGCTAAAGATACATACTGCTCAGTGGTAGAGCATTTGCCTCTTATGCATAAGGCCCTGGGTTTGATCCCTCTACTGCAAGAAGAAGGAAAAAAAAAAAAAGATTATTCCAGGTAGAGAAAGCAGCCTGAGCAGAAATGTAATATTTAAGACAAAGTAAATTGGTCTGTGAGATTGGAACACAGGGGGTGGGTGTTCATATGTTTATGCAACAGATACCCTAAGTTTCTGCTGTGTGCCAGACAGTGTTTGAGAGGAAGAGTTCAAAGACAGATAAGAAACAGTTCCTGGGGCTGGGGATGTGGCTCAAGTGGTGACGCGCTCGCCTGGCATGCGCAGAGCTCTGGGTTCGATCCTCAGCACCACATAAAAATAAAAGATGTTGTATCTGCCGAAAACTGAAAAATAAATATTAAAAAATTCTCTCTCTCTCTCTCTCTCTCTCTCTCTCTCTCTCTCCCCTTAAAAAAAAAAAAAAAAGAGTTCCTGTCTTCCAGGAACTCACAGTTTAATCAAGGAGAAAGACATATAAACAAGTAATTAAGTAATTTGGCGGGTCTAGGTTGAGTTAATAAAATGTGAATAGTTACTTACATGGCTAGATTGGGGTAGGTTTTGGAAAATGCTTCCTGGAAGTCATGGGTAAGAGGGGTGAAACCTGAATCGGGAAACGTAGATTACAGCGTGTACAGGGTTTAATGATAGAGAGCACCAGTTCTGGAATCATTTTCTGTGTTCAAATTCCAGCTCTGCCTCTTAACTGTATAAACTTGAGCAAGTTTCTTTTCTCTTTTTTTTTAAAACCTTCACAGCCCTGGGAATTGAATCCAGGTACTCTTTCACTGATCTGCATCACAACCCTTTTAATTCTTACTTTTGAGACACAGTATTCCAAGTTCCAACACTGTTCACAAGTTTACAGTCCTCTTTTCTCAGCCTCCTGAGTAGTTGGGATTGTAGGTGTTGCTACCACACCTGCTTGAGCACGCTTCTTTACCTTCCTTTGTCTCCTAACAGTCCTTTCCTTATTAATTAGTGTGGGGTTAAGACAAGATAATAGAAATCCTTAGAAAGATTCCCTTTAAGGCCATGGTACCAACTTTGTGTCCTCTTTGGTCTTAAGTGGCCCTAAGGGTAGTTTTCAGAAACTGTCATGCTGATTCTAACAAGGATAATAGAAGATTTTCTTAAGTTGAGTGGGGAAAGAAGAACCAAAATGTAGTGATTTTCCTTTAAAGATTGTTGATGTGTAGGTTGTAATACTATCAGGATCAATGAGGAAAACCCTGTCATCAGCTGTTAATACCTTCTTTGGATCTGAGACAAAGTAAGATAAGATCATGATTGAGTGAAATTAGCAAGAGAGAACTTAATGTTATTAAATCAGTCTATGTTTTCAAGTAATTTCCTTTTTTCCTTTCTGAAATATGACTTCAGAAATCCCAGCTGTCTTCTAAGATAGCTCAGGTGAATCTCTATAATAAATCATCCTATAGACAATGGTGGAATATGCTGGTTTTTGTTTGATAAATTAGCAAGAATTTTAAAAAATTTATGTTCATATCTTATGTTGCCAAGGGTTGAAAGAAATTGATGTGCTCAGACATTGTACTAGGAGCACTGAAAATCGATCAGGTACCTATCTATCATTTTGTGATGTGTGTTTCAGTTTTCTTGTGTGAGAAGTAAAGGTATTAGGAAAAGCCATTCAAGATTGTTGAATCATGGTCAAAGTCCTATGAACAATACACTAAGTTCTCCCCACTTTCCCAGAGTCTGTCAGAGATGGAGAGGATTTGTTGCTCCAAAATTCTCTTGGAGGTTCTGATTACCTGGTAATATCCTCCCACAATGAGAATCAGGAACAAGAGCATTTCTCAGGATCCTTTCACTTTGAACTCTAGAATTCTGCAGTCATTTTAAATAGGATATGAAGAAGAAATACTTGAACTCAGAAGCAAAAACAAGACTTCATAAAATTACAGAATTTCAATTCTGTTTCGTTTAAAGTGAGTAGTATCGATATTGAGCCTTGTACAAGAAGCAGAAGACCAGATTAATCAAATATGGCATATCCCAGTAGTAGAATGCAATCATTAAAAAACTGTAAATTCAGTTCACTCACAAATATGGTGAACCTTAAGAGTCAGTATACATTTAATTATTTCTCTCCATCTCTCTCCCAAGCATCTTAATCTAAGCCACCATTACATCTTACCTGCAGAATACCACAGTAGTCCTAAACCATCCGTTGGAGTCTGCTCTTGACCCTCTGCTTAGGGGATAGAAATCACATCATTTTTCATACAGCTTCCTAGCTACTGTTTAAATCTCATGCAAAGTACCCCAAATTAGCACAGATTTTTTAAGTTAAGGGCACATCTCCAACAAGGCTACTACCTTTACTTCAGACACCAGCCACAAGTTTGGAAGGTTTCCAAGCTATCCTCCCTTAAGACCAATGCTTACAGATTCAGGGGAGTCCCATGATTCACCCAGGTCCAAAAATTAACTATAACTCAAGTAAGCACTATATTTATTTATTTATTTTTTTTTTTTTGGTGCTGGGGATTGAAGCACTGTACTTATGATTACAGTTTTATTATAAAATCTACAGATCAGGACCAGCCAAATGGAGAGACATATGGAGCAAGGTCTGGGAACTTCCATGTCCTCTTTCCTGTAGACTCAATTCATGTGTGTCATCCTCCTAGCACATTGTTTTTTTCACCAACCAGTAGTAATCTCTCCTAAACCTTAGCATTCAGAAGTTTTATTGAAGTTTCATTATTTAGGCATGATTGATTAAATAAATCATTAGCCGCATAGTTAGATTCCTTCTTCAGTTCCCTAAGTGTGATCCAAGGGCCCACCATGATTAGCAGTGACAGTCCTGTCATTCCGGAAATTTCAAGGGTTTAGAAGCTCCCTCACAAGAACCAGGGACAAAGGCCAGCCAAATTTTTCATTATATAACACCATCACATTTTTTTAAAAATCCAAAATCTTTTTCATGGCCTGTGAGCCCTACATGGTGTGGCTTCCAGCCACCTCTCTAACCTTATTTCCTGCCGTTCCTTTTCTGTAGCCACACTGGCCTCCATGTTATTCCATGAACACATCTGTACTGCTCAGCTTCTTTAAACAAGCTTCTCCTTCTACCTAGGAACCTCTTCCCTTGAATATCCAGTGGCTTCCTTCCTTAAGTGTTTTAATATAAGAAAGGCCTTTCCTTATCATTCAGTCAAAAGTATTTCCCTACTTTTCCTCACTTTTTTTTTTTTAAAGAGAGAGTGAGAGAGGGGAGAGAGAGAGAGAGAAAGAGAGAGAGAGAATTTTTTAATATTTATTTTTTAGTTCTCGGCGGACACAACATCTTTGTTGGTATGTGGTGCTGAGGATCAAACCCGGGCCGCACGCATGCCAGGCGAGCGCGCTACCGCTGAGCCACATCTCCAGCCCCCTTTTCCTCACTTTTTAATCCTCTTACATTGGCTTTATTATTCTCCATTGTAAAAAACTTATCAAATATTTCTGAAATTAATTGATATGTTTTATATCTTTTGAATTTTCTATATTTATGATCCATTCAATAATAAAGAATAGGACAAGGGGAAAATGTAAATAAGCAGCTTTGCTTTTTTCTTTCCCTCCACGTTTGCTTATGAAGTGCTTTGTATCTGTTTTTTTACATGAAAAAGGTTCTTTCCACTGATATCCTCCATGTGGAAGCAGAATTAAACCTTGTGCTTTTCTATACCTTTAAGACTTTGGTTAGGTTTTTTTTGTTTTTGCAAGGCTGGGAATTGAACCCAAGGCTTCACAAATGGCATGCAAGCAAAATACCACAGAGCTATATCCCAAGACCAAGACATTGGTTTTTTAATGCTAGTGTGATATTTGTTTTAGTGAATCAAGTCATCTGATTCTTCCTTCTTTGATTGTGTGCCTCCCATAGCCTACCATCTTGAAAATTATGTGATCTTAAGGCCTAGCATAGTTCTTTATAAAAAATCAGAAGGTGTTCAGTAAATATTATTTCTTCCCCACCCCTAGTGCTGGTAAATGAGCCCAGAGTAAATATTTCAATTATGATGATATCTCCTAGCCCAATAAAACTACACCACTAAATTTGAAAAGAATTAATTTGAGGGCTGTATAGTAGCTTTCCTTTTTGTTTTCATTAATTT